TTCAAACTGTCAAAATGAAATCAAACATAGCAGGACCTCTGGCTGTAATGTTTCTGTACCTGCTTGTTACTTATATTGATAAAAACTTGTTTAATTATCCAGACATTTAAACCTGGCTGTGTTAGTGGAGTCGTGTTTGTGGACGGCTAATTTTTACTTTTACTTGATTACAAACAAGTAGTGCTACACATACTCAAGTGATAAACGATCTCTAGCCTCCTTCAGAGGTTTATTCTTGTAAGGGATGCATTGGCCTTCTTATTTTGATCCATCCTTTTTGACTCTTGTTCTGCTTCCCCTAGCAATGCCTAAAATGGCGCTAAGAGGCTGTGGTTGACATTCAGGTCACGTGTCTGTTAAGGCCCGATAGTTTTAGGCTGAAAGATGCGCTAATGCTGCACTGCTCTGGGCGGCTGCATGTTGGAGTAGCTCTGTTGACTATATGCAAGTTGTGCCTTTTCTTGGGCATTTTTTCTTCTAGTTTCTCAAGAAAACTGTATTTTTTGGACATTTAACTTATCTGTTTCTGGTGCTGTGAAGCTTGGAGGATTTTTACTGCTATTTTGTAGCTTTTTTCACTTTTTTGAGCATTTGTTATGATGCGTAACCATGGCAACAAGCTGGTTTACAATCGGGAGCAGCTGATTAACATTGGAAATAGGGCTGCTCAATTAATCGAATTTTAATCACGATTACGATCTGAGTTTTGAACGATTATAAAAAACAAAACAAGCCGATTATTTGCTCCTCCCGCTTGCGCTGCCCTGAGTTGCAAATGAAGCGCTCCTCCACAGTGTTGCCAACTTAGCGACTTTGACGCTATTTCTAGCAGCTTTTCAGACCCCCTTCTTGACTTTTTAATCCTAAAAGTACCTAGCGAACATCTCAGAAACATCTCTGCTAACCCTTAGCTACTTTCTGGATAACTGTCGTCGACATTTCCTGCAGGTTAGCTAAACACTCCGCCTGTGCTCCGGACCGTTCTTCACAACATTAGGAAAGGGAATGATGCAGTGATGCGTCAGTCGCTGAAAACAGCTCTCGGAGCCGGCTCCTTGTTGGATTAACCAGAGTGAGTGACACACACACCGCACCTGCGGTCTCATGAGCAGCTAAAAACAGCTAAATGTGCGCGTGCAGCGTGCTAAACACACATGCAGCTTGCCCGATTGCTGTGAGACCGGGGTGGGGGGGTGGGGGGTGGGGGGTGCAGCTGTGGTTGGGACAATTACTTTAACTGATGGGCCTGTAAATAAATAGTTTATAAATAAGGTAGAAATAAGTTCCTCACGCTGATAACTAATCTCTCTGAGGACACTGTGCTAGTGCACTCTCCTACAGCACCTTGACACAACTCAATAAATGTTATGTAACATTTTGTGAACATGAATTTATTTGCATTTATTTGTTATAAATGCCTCTGTATAATTCTTGCTGTCAGTATTTGCAAGATATTGGTATTTGGTTCTGTACTGGTTAGACTCAAGGTCTATAGCCCTTGGGTCATAGACTATGAGCTATAAGTATATTGGTCTTTTTATCCTGGGAATCAGGAGTTCTTTTAGTGATCATCTTGTTTCTTATTTTTGTCCTGATTGTGCCCTGAGCAGTTTTATGACTGAATAAAAACAAATAAAATCAACATAAATTGAAAAATCGTCCTAAATAATCGTGATCTCAATTTCAGTCACCATAATCGTGATTATTATTTTTGCCATAATCGAGCAGCCCTAATTGGAAAGGCTGAAATAATACCTCAACTGAAGCCACAAATCCCAAATGAGCTAAAACGCAAGAAGCGTGGGTGCAGAGCGGGAGCAAAATGGAGACAGAGAAAGAGGAAATTCAAACCATCTCTCCCTTCGATCATAATGGGCAATGTGAGATCACTGGCCAACAAGACGGAGGAACTCCAAGCCCTTTCAAGGACTCAGCCAGAGTTTCGGCAGTTTCGGAACCGCTGGAGGAGGTAATGCAAAGAAGGATTCTCCAGAGAATCAAGAAAATTATGGACAACCCTGAGCGTTCTCTTCACAAGACTGTCCGACAACGGAAGAGTGTCTTCAGTCAGAGGCTTCTTCAGTTTCGCTGCAACACTGACCACTACTGGAGATCCTTCCTGCCAACAGCCATTGTAATATACAACAACTCTTTGACTGAAGAAATTCACTCCTCGATGTCAAATGGTTTTAATGACAAGGATGAAGGAGCCCTGCGGCGACATACAAAGGAGTGAGCAGAAGCTAACGGCAATGTGAAGCAGCAGCATGGGCTGAAGAGCAAAGCTAAGCAATGTGATAAAATAGGTAAATAAATGCAGCGCAGCTTAGCATGCATACTGACAATGAGACCATTACATTTGCTTAATAAGCAGGTGAAGACTTACAGATACAAGTCGAACAGTCGCATAGATAGACAGCAGTGTGATGGTTGAGCAGCAGCAATCCAAATGAGAGACAGCAGTATGTACAGTGAGGGATAGTAACATGTACGTGACTTCAGGCACATGAATACACTTTTTTCCCTCGAGGCTTGATCGCAGCACACCCTAGTGGCCAGTGATGACCTCTGCATTGACGACTTGATTATTATTATTATTCTGAGCTACTACAGCAATCAATTTCCCTCTGGGATTAATAAAGTATTTTGAACTGAATAGAATTAATCACTTAGCTCCAATACACAAGAGTTACATCCCTTTTTGTTCCACCCTCCTCCCCCTCAGTTAGCTGGAAGTTTACAGACCGATACAGGTTGAGTTAGCATTCAAGCTAGCGCTTTATTAGCCTACGGAAAACCCAGCATACAATTATTTGCAGTCTTTTTTAATTAAAGAAAATCCAGTTAATTGTCCCTAAAATGCAATAAAGGATTTAGTATTTACCCATCCAGAAGTAAATTTGCCAACTCTTCATCAGTTTTTAGCCTTTATCGTGCTTCAGCTTCTTCGTCTTTGGTGTTCCAAGGTGACAGGTTGTCTGACAGCTCCCTCTTGTGGATGCGCAAATCTTTTGGTCAACGCTCATGGCTCCCATGAGTGATTAGGGATTTGTTTTGCTGTAGAGGTAGCCTGGCCCATAAATATGTATTTATGTGTTTATATACATATGTGGCCTGGCCTGCCAGACTCGTCCTCTCTCTCTTCTACACAACAGGAACAGGATGCATGGGGCTGCTGATCAGGGTAGGGACTCATTTATGTTACAAACCAACAGTTTTCTAAAGGATCCATCTGAGCTGTTGGTCTAATTCAGCAGGAATTACTTACCTCCATTTTATGAGAATATATCAGATTGTTTATTTAAGCTGCAATCAGCACGACTCGACTCAATAAATCTGTTTGAACCTAACTGGAGTTAAATCTGAGTGGGATTCAAAATAACTAAATAGGAATGATCTGTTCTGAAAATAAGGAAAAGTAACCCAGACGCAAATTTTCCAGTTAATTCTGCTTTTCCTCCCTGAGAAAATATCTTCAGTCCGAAGAAGATTAATGAGAAAATAATTTCACAGACCCAGCAGTGAAGTTGTTTGTTTGCATTAGTCGATTTTCTTTCTTTTCTGAGTTCAGTCAAACAAACCCGAAGAATTTAAATAATTATAGTCACAACAGAAAGGAAGAAGAGAGACCAGAAGCTTCAGGACAAAATGAAAACCCGCTTCTTGTTTACAGTAATTTAATCCACAGGCTTCACGTCGTTCAAACTCACTTGTTTTATTTGCAAATAAATTACAGACAACAGAGGAAATAAAAAAAACCTAACAGGAATATTTCATAAAAATAATAAATGCAGAATGTAATAAGTTTAGCTCCAGTGGTTTATCCTCATATTTATATTAAATCAGTTAAAATGACACGTTTCCAGAAAACATTTTTATAAACTGCAGAAGAAGAGTAGTTCAAAAGGACGATGAAGTGAGATTGCTGGTTTCTGATCAGCGCTGGTGAGCTGTGAGGTGAAGGCCCCCACAGAGATGGAGGGATGGAGACGAGAGGATGGAGGGGAGACAAAGGGATCGAGGGAAATTAAAGAGAAGGAATTAGACAGAATTGCTTCAAAAAGCAGGAGAGGAGGAGGAAAATGTGAGGGAATGTGTCAGGAGCTGATGGTGGTGGTGGTGGTGGTGGTGGGGGGGGGGGGGGGGGGTTGAAGAATAAAACAGAGGGAAGATTGGAGACAGAAATGAGGTGAGGACATGAAAAACTAAATCTGGCGTTTCGTCTGGTTCTGAAAACATTCTACATCTTATTACATCTGATTATAGTTTGGTTTTTATTTTGTAAGATGCTGATTGAATCCATCACTGGGCCGTGATCCAGAACCTAGCCGAGTCAGTCTTTAATGCTAATTTTTAAAATGTGAATGTAAATAAGCTGGTCTGGAGAAAGTTTTTACCCATAACACCCACTGGTGCCTGCAGACCAGAAGTTGGCCCAGAACACTCAAGAATTCCTCCAAAACAAAGGCTTGAAGCAGAACCACCAAAATAAGAGCTTCAGCTGCAGCTGTTGATTATTTTCTCCTCCATTTGCCAGAACTCTCCTTTTTCTACCCAAATCCCGTTTTTATCTTTGATTTTTGTCCCTTTACATCACAAAGTGACCTCATTAACTTAATGGACCGGAGCTGAAAGTCTTTTTGATGATGGATGTTTTTGCCACAGAGCAGAAAAACGGTTTTATGTTGCTTTTCCTCCTCCTCTCAGATTTGATGCATTCTGCAGATGTTTCTAGTTTTACTTTGTGTTCTTGAACAGTGGCGCTGCACAGCTGCTGCGGGCAGATAAATTAGGTATAAAGGAAGAAACTAAAAAGGGAAGTCTTTGTTCAGATCTGGTTTGTCTGGAGAGGATAGGAGGAGCTAGATCAGGTTTAACTCTTCACATGATAGATGTGAATCTAAAAAACGTCCTCAAAGTTTTCAGATGTTTCCTTTACTTTTAATATTCTGACTGTTTTATTTTCTAAGACATGAACTGAGCTCTCACTCCATCTGCAGATGTTACAGCCGCAGTTCAAACCTCACAACATCCAGCAGGTGCTGCTGAGGCTTTTCCAGGTAATTTTAATTGTTCATTCATTCCTTCTTCCGTCACGCTTCTTTTTAAACCAGACAAATCGATAAGTTATAAGAACAGCTCTGATGTACGGTCTGGTAGACATCTGACTTTCGGTCCTCCAGCTGTGATTTCATTTTTCCTCGGGCTGCTTTGTGTTCCATTTCCTCTGACGCTCAGGTTCCGGTCTCTGATCGGATCATGTTCTGTCTCAGGTGATTCCTGGACGCTCGCCCTACGGCTCCTGGGATCCGGGACGCTGCCTGCGCTGCGCTGTGGTGGGAAACTCCGGAAACCTCAGAGGGGCCAGATATGGGTCAGCCATTGATGGACACGACTACATCATGAGGTGAGAGGATGCAGAGTCAGATGGGGGGGTGACGGATTGGAGCTCCAGACCTTCACAGCAGGACCCATTAACATCCTCCAGACCCAGAAGCTTCTCAGACAGCAGATGTGGGCCTGATGCTAAATTTAATCTCACTGTTTAATGCTGCCGGCATTCTGCCCTCTGATTGGCCCTTGGGGGGTCACCTGACCCGTGTGGCCACCACAAAGAGCTTTTTGTACCTAGACGCTGAAACTTATACCACTGTGTCTGACGTGCACGTGAGCGTGCACTGAGGCACATAAATCTGAGTGTGTCTGAATATTCTGGCTCATGAACAATGAGACACACACACACACACACACACACACACACACACACACACACACACACACACACACACACACACACACCTTTAAATACAGAATCAGCTTTTGGAAGCAGTGAAACGGTTTTATTTAAAAGCATATTTAAGACATCCTGGAGCGTGTTTGTGTAACAGTTTTAAATAATTCCTCTTGTCGTAGATAGCTTCCTGAATGGCCCGTGTTCAGAGTAATAGAGATGACTTTCCTTTTACAAATCAAAAGGCGAGCAGGAGTTATTCATCAGGAATTCTGGGGGAATTTTAGGAGACTGGAGCACAGCAGTCAGATGTTTGTGGACTCAAGTTGCAAATCAGACGACTTGTGGGCCATTCCCATCTGTACCGGGCCGGCCCGGGCCGGGTAGCGTAGGTTGTTTACATATCTGGGTGGCCTGGTATTTTTCCGGACCAACCAAGGCTCATTCTCAGCCCTCTTCTCGAGGGGGTCTGCTTCAGGCCGACCAGGGCCAACACACCCACTGCTGACAGCAAATTCACACCTTCCATTAGAGCAAGCCTCTGATTGGTGGGTAGAATCAGCCCACATGGGCTTAAGACAAGGATGTGTGGAATCAACCGGGCCAGGCTGGGGCCGACTGGGGCTACTCGGCCCGGGCCGACCCAGTACAGATGGGAATGGCCCATTGAAGACTCGTAAAAGATTCTAAACTCAGACTTTAACCCAACGGAATCGTGACCTGACTTTGAGCTGGAGACCAAACCCTAAACAGAAACCGTCTGACCTGTCAGCTGATTGAATAAGTAAATAGTTTCTAATCAGCGTCGGCAGATTAAAGTGATTCTGGACTTGTTTGATTTGTTGTTTCAGGTCGTTTTAGTGAACCAGAACCTTCAGTTTAGTTTTCTCATCGGTATATGAGTCGCTTTGTTGCCGCTTTGGGTTTTTATCCGTATCCTCATCAGGCCTGGTGAGCAGCTGCGGCTTACAGACTTCTCGTGAATTTTTCTCTGGCCGACTCGCGCTGCTGCAGCAGTTTTATTGGTGCACGTTCATTTCCGAGTGTTCGCTCCTGTTGAGGTAAATGCGTCACTCCCGATGTGACTCATATTTTCTGCATTACAAAAGTTGGATCTGAGTGTTTCTGTTAGACTGAAAGATTCCTGCAGCTGGTGGAAACCTCCGACAGGAATCAGACTTCCCGTCGACCATTCAGCTCAGACAGATAGGCTGAACAGATTGTGTGAACCAGTGGAGTAAATAAAGAAGCTGCTCCTGGATTGTAGATGACATCGTTGTTTCCATTTTTACTTTGTGCCTGAGAAGCATTTTTATTGTTCTGTGTCTGCAGGTGCGGAAAAACGACGTTTTCAGTGATAAATGTCCTTAAACACGCTGCTGACTATTAGCAGGTTCCTGCAGATTGTGCAGAGCATTAGGTCTGAACTTTGTCTATAATCCCTGGTTTCTTCACTAAAGAGGCATAGAAAGTATTTTTCTTTTTCTTGAAGAGATTCTGAATTAGCTGTGATCCAAGCAGGAAACACCGAAAAGCGTTTGGGTTCACAGGAATCGCTCCAGAGGAAAGCATCTTTACCAATCTCGTGGTCTTAGTTGTAAAGAGGTCTACCTCTTTAACAGGATTTGTACGTTCCACTGTGTTCAACCCTCTGATTTAAGAACTGCTGGTGGCTCGAACAGATTTGAGGTTCTAATTTCCCTCCAGGATTAATCTGGCCCCCACTGTGGGCTACGAGGACGACGCCGGCAGCAGAACCACGCACCACTTCATGTACCCAGAGAGCGCCAAGAACCTGGCGGCCAACGTCAGCTTCGTCCTGGTTCCCTTCAAGACTCTGGACCTGGTCTGGATCACCAGCGCTCTGTCCACGGGACAGATCCGCTTGTAAGACACACAGATGTGCAACCTGTCAATCATCCAGCAGTCACATGGCGTGTTGAAGCCGTTTTTATCCATTCTTCCTGCAGCACCTACGCTCCGGTGAAGCAGTTCCTCCGCGTGGACAAAGACAAGGTGAGTCTGCTCTGATCACCATCAGCTGGTTCCACCCCCACCCTCTGCTGTTGATGAGGGATTACAAACATTCCCTTTGTTTTCACTAATCTCCGCTCGCCCTTTAATCTGTAAAAATGCGCTAATCCTGATCACATGGAGACGCCGAGATCATCTTCACCCGGGCAGAACCTCGGAGTCTTTGGTTTGACCCAGAAAGACAGATGGAGTACATTTCCTCCCAAAAGGTGGCATTCTGGTTATCACCTGGGGGGGGTTGGGCGTGTCGGCATTAATCCCATTACAGCTGTTTACAGAGATCAGGAATATTTGTTCTGGTCTCCTCGTAGGTCCAGATCTTCAATCCAGCCTTCTTTAAATACATCCACGACCGCTGGACCAGACATCACGGCCGCTACCCCTCCACCGGCATGCTGGTGCTGTTCTTTGCTCTGCACGTCTGTGACGAGGTCAGTCCCCCTCTGCTGCGGGTCTCCTCCGGTTTTCCTCCATCCGGTTTCTGACTCTGATCCTTCCGCTCCTCTCCAGGTGAACGTGTTTGGCTTCGGGGCCGACAGCCGAGGAAACTGGCACCACTACTGGGAACAGAACCGCTACTCCGGAGAGTTCAGGAAGACCGGCGTCCACGACGCAGACTTTGAAGCCCAGATCATCCAGCAGCTTTCCCAGGCTGGGAAAATCACAGTATTCCCTGGAAAGTGATCCACACTCCCATCATGCGTAGCTCTACAGATTAGGAAGCTGATCCGAAGTACACGCGTAGATGTCTCACCTGTTTGGGTTTTATGTTGAAGTCAAAGTTTACAGGAAGTGAGGAGAAATGCCTGAACGGGACTGTGACCTCCGTCTGAAGGATCAGGCAGGAGAACCGGCTGCAGCTGGAAATCAGAACCCTGCTGCTGTGGACTTGGTCCGGTAGAACCATTCAGACTCAAAGACAGACAAACAGTCTGAGCTGCAAACATCTGGAGAACTGAACCATCAGAACTCGGATCGGATCTTTGATTTGCCTTAAACTCAGTTTGAGGCACAGACTCCGAGCGGCACCGCCATGGAGGTCGATGATTGGAAGTCTGACGGTTTGTGTGACAGCTGCTGTGTGAAAACTGGTTTACCAGATACAACCGTCGTCTGAAGCCCGCGGGTCGGTTCTGTGTAAGCAGATCCAAACACACACAATCAGGACTTTCCGATGCTCTGACTCACCGAGATGAGCCTCAGCTTCCAGACGCCATGGCAACCACCAGCCCGCTGCAGCCGGTACTCACATCTGGACTGTGGCGATGAGGAAGTGAGCCGGGTTCTGAACGGGTCCGGACAGATCAGGATTTTAGCTTTTAGGAAATTTTGTTTCACCTCCAAATAAACTGGACCAGGTGGAGGCCTTCATTAACCACGCCGCTAACCCTTCTGGAGGAGGCGGAGCCACCACACGCCTTAAGACTTCATCTGTGATGGTGACCCCTCCCCTCTTTGTCACACACACACACACACACACACACACACACACACACACACACACACACACACCTACTGCTAGTTTCTCTCTCCTCGTCGTTCCTCATTACTCAGACAGAAACGGGAATAATCCAGGAAAGCATCAGAAACACAAACCTGTAATTCCACCTTAAAACAGACCCAAATTCCAGTGAAACATTCAAAAGAAGCTAGTTTTAAAAAATCAGAGGTTTTAAACATCCACTTTTTAATCTGAGCTCTAAACCTTTCAGCCCCAAACGTTAGATCATGTGGGAGGAGCCTGTGGGGTTTGAAGCATCTGTTGGTTTATCTGATTTTATCACTTCTTTACTGTAAATCTTTTCATTAATTTAATTTTTTATTTGTTGAAAGACAAACACAAATATTAGAGCTGCGATTGGAGGACAATTGCTTAAAGAGCAAGTCACCCCCAAATCAACTTTTTTTCCTGATAAACTAAATGTGTGTCTAATCGTGCTGCAGACACGTGTGGTTAATAGTTTAGCACTTTGGTGCATTTTTGTTAAAATTTTAATTTTCTGCCTAAAACTGTCAGTGTTGTGCCGTTGACATGTAAAAACTCTGCACTGCATTTGAATTTAAATCTGCCATCGCTATTGGCTGAGAGGTACCCTAGAACGTTAGCTGGTACCATATGATGTCACAATATCATTGTGAGCCTGTTTGAGTGTGTATTTGTTAGCGGCTCTGCCCTCTCGGTCTGCTAGGCAACAGCATTTGTTGCACTTTTCTAACAGGAAGTGGGAGTGGAGTTAGACTCTGGTAGGGGGTGACTTGCTCTTTAAGGCGGATTTACAGAAAGATTCAGATTTACTGAAAATTATTGTTGAGCAAGATTAAGGATTTAAATGTGACAACCTGAATATGTTTCTGCAGTGAATTTTACGTGGAACACAACCAGATGTTATGTCTTCTTACAAAAATGCACCAAAACATGATCTGGTGAGCAAATCTAAAACTTCTAATCTTTTTGTGGGGTCCATGAATGCAGCACTGCCAACTTTTATTTCTTAAGATTTTTTTTTATAAGAAACAAGACTCAAAATAAGGCATTTTGTGTTAATTTCATCCAAAAATCAATGAAAACAGTCAGAAGGAAATTGAATAAACTGATTCAAATCATTCATGTTTTATATATCAAAGCATGATGGTTAGGATTAGAAACATCAGAAACCTGAACAGCTGCTGGAGTCGACGCTAATAGTTCAGGTTGTCCTCGTAAAAACAGGTTTTAAATTTAGTTTGTTGGCAGGAAGAGAGCCCACGACCAGGAGGACGGTGAATAATTAACAGCCAACAGGTGCTGAGATGATTTTTAGATGAGAGAACAAACTCCACAGGGCTCCTGAAGTTTGAAAATCTCTTTTTCTTAGACAAGTTTGGGTTTAGTTCCTGGGTTGTTTACTCCCAGATGGAGGTTTAGGTATCCCGTCTCCTGCCCGTGTGTTAATTATCTGTGACTCCATGTCTTCTGTAACAGATGGCGTGTATTTCTGTCGGCTTTCCGTGCCTTTTGTCTTGCTGCTGGACGCCTGCAGCTCCTTTACACCAACACGCACCTGATACCTTTGAATTTTTGTTTCACACACTTTTTTTTGCCGTGCCTTCTGAGATGAACGGACATGAACACACTCTGCCTTCTGCTGCCGGGGGTGCACGCGCCTCCCGATCCGCACTTCTTTCTGCTTCATACTGATGTTTTCAACAGGAGACGAGAACTTATGCCAGAGAAAACTCCTGATCCAGGTGTCTTTGTTTTCCTTTTAAACTTCCCTTGATGGTCCTTGTCATGAGGAGAGAGGAAGGACACCTGGATACGTCTCCAGTCCACCACAGAGACAAAGTTAAAGAGCAAGTTAACCCCAAATCAACTTTTTTGCTGATAAACGAAATAAATGAGTCTAATCGTGCTGTAGACTCATGTAGTCAATAATTTGGCACTTTAGTGTGTCTTAAGTTAAAATTTAAATATTCTGCCTAAAGCAGTCAGTGTTGTGCCGTCTTCAGGTAAAAACTCTGCCCTGCATTTGAATTTAAACCTGCTATCACTAAGGATCACTAAGAGGTCCACTATGATGCTAGCTGGTACATTATGATGTCACAATGTCGTAAGCCTGTGTGTGTATTTGTCTGTGGCTCCGCCCTCTCGGTCTGCTAGACAACATTTGTTGCATTTTTCAAACAGGAAGTGAGAGTGGAGTAAGACTCTGGTAGGGGGTGACTTGCTCTTTAACCTGACATGGTTTTGGTCTGTGGGAGGAAATCCAGAAGAGCATGCTCAGAAGAAGAAGAAGCGAGGACTGGATCAGGAGTTTAGAAAAGTTCTGTTTGTTTTCGGGAGATATTTGAGAGGATTCTTTTTCCCGTTTCACGGAAAGACTAGAAACGTGAACAGAAACTCGCTCTGCTCCGTTTGTGTTCACTTGTGCAGCAGCTGAGCGCTGTTTCTATGCAACGATCGGAAAAGGCTCCCAATCCTGCAGCTCCAAGGATTGCCTGCAGACTAAACCAGTGCTCCTCATCAGATGGAGACCAGGACAAAGTGGTGAGATGGAGGCAAGCCCCCCCCCCCCGATCCCACCTGAAGTAAATCCGCTCTCCATCAGTGACCCACAACCCAGCTTCTTATCCTGCAGAAAGACTTCTGTTCCTTCCTCGTTTTCCTCGCAGGCAGAGAATAAAACTCGTCGGCCTGGAAGTGAGCCGAGGTTCAACCAGGTTCTGGTTTTCTCTGGAAGAGCGACGATCTACTGAGAAACAGCTGATTCCTTCTCTTGAACCTAAAAGTGTCATGACCCAACACGCATTGCTTCGCCTTGTTGCTCAGTAACAAGCCAGAACCTCCATGAATCAGGCAGAAATGAGGCTATGTGGGTAGGTTAGGAGGTGAACTCCAGCAGGAAGAGGCAGCAAACACCCGTGTGATACGTGACTCTTTGTATTTGATGCTGTTGTACAAATAAAAGCTTCATGAAACTGGAGAGTTTTGATTCTTTTGAACGTTGAGTTAATTCCTCAGATCCTGATCAGAAGTTTCTGATCTTTATGAGGTGACTGATGATGGCTAACCCTGTAGCTCAGAGGAACTCGTTTATCTGAAATAAACCAGAAGACTCGTGACATTTACCAGTCAGATTTATTCCACCGGCATGATTTCTGTTACAGGAACGACGAGACGCAGATTTAAATCATGAAACATCAGAAGATTCAGACGGATTATTTCACATTAGTAATTATTAATTAAGTAAAATCAGATTTGTCGGACATGGATGGATGTTAACAGCGTCCCGCCTGCAGCACGAACTCAGCAGAACTAAGAATCAGGCTGAAGTTTTACTTCTCTTCGTCTAGCAGAGCTTTAAGTGCCTGCAATGTGTGTGTGCAGAGGGAGGTATCGGGGCCACGGGGAGATGAAACTGACTTGGAGCCTAGATGGAGGAACAGGAAGTGCCACGTTTGTGCTTGGAGGATGAATCAGAGGCTTTAAGCAGTGCTAGCAGGAGGCTAAAGCTAACATCCTTTTCCCTCTCTTATGGACATGCAGCAAAGTCGTCGGTCGGTAAAAGTGCACGAGAGGATGTTTACAGCTACAGCTCGATGACATAAAATCAGGCAGATCTGTGAAAATAAATAATTTTCTGAGTTTCAGTGGTTTAGTTTTGTGAACTAGACCGAGGAAATCAACACTTTGAATCCGTTTTCCTCTCAGTTTTCTCCCAGTTTGAGTCGTGCAAACTCATTCGCTATCTGTAGCGCCTCCTGCAGGCACTGCGTGTTCTTGCCTGTGGCCTGTGCAGACATGTCTTTACCACCTCCTTTACCGTCCAGCAGGGGGCACAACTCCTGAACCCACTCACTGGCCTTCAGACCGCGGTTAGCCACTTCCTGCAGAGAGGAGGAAGAAGAGGGTAACGGTTAGGACACGGAACAGAAGATGCTGGAATTCCCACAGAGCCTGTTGAGGACGTACCTGAGGGACCTGACATAGGCAGGTGATCCGGCCGGCGTCCGGGTCAACGGTGAAGAGCATGGTGGCGGTCTGTGGAGAATGAGACTTCAGCAGCTTCAGTGACTCATTTAGAGCCTGAAACAGAAGAAACGGGAATTTCAGGAGGAAAACAGGAAAGTTTCGGAAGAAATGAGCTCCAGAGTCGATTCTGTTCCATGGCAGTGAAAATACTCTAAACTAATACTATTACTATTACTTCTATTACTAAAAAAAGACGGCGAATAAGGACCCCGGGACACTTCCGTACGTCTGATCTGAGATCAACGTTATTTAGAACATTTAGAGATTCTCGCCTTTGCTGAAGCTCCAGTCTCCATCTCCATGACGAGCAGCGGCTGATTAGGACTGTTTTCGATCACCTCCTTCGTCTTTTCCAGAACTCTTTTCTGGATGTCGGCCTTGTAGGTGCGGTCCAGGTCGTCCATGGTCTTCTTCAGACCCTTCAGGATGTCTCTCATCTCGTCCTTCTGCCACTGAGGAATCACTGCGGTGCCTAACGACTGTGGAGTACACAGAGATGTTAACTTTTCAACATGGAGCAGCTAATGTTCCACCGGCACTGGAACGCTGCTCACCTCCGTCATGTCGGCGATCTCTCGCTGGACGTCCTTGTTTGGGGTGGCTTGCTGCTTGACTTTGTCCCCCAGAGCGGACAGAGACTGACGCAGGGCGTCGGCTTTCCTCTGGGCCTGGAGGCACATGAAGATCAGGATCAAACAGAAGCAGGAAAACCTACCTCAGGAGTCTCAGTCTAAACAGGATTTTTGTGTGTGTGTGTGTGTTTTGGGGGTGGAAGCCCATGCGTGTGTCCCAACCTTCTGGGCCTCGGCTCCCGTCACGGCGACGATGCGACGGATGCCCTTAGCGATGGCCTCCTCGGAGACGATGACAAACGGTGCGGCGTGACTCGAGTTCTGCAGGTGGCTGCAGATAAGAGGAACAACATCAGGAGAGGAAACATCGCAGCAGCAGAAACACTGAAGGTCTCTGATGAAGCTGCAGATTAAAACCTGCATCAGCGTGCTGAAGCAGCGCGAGACGAAGAGACGAGTCACCCTAAAACACCTGAAGACAGACTCCTGCAGCATCGATAGAACGCTTTTATAACGTTTCATGGATTATGTAACTATCAATAAAAAAACATGAAGATTAAGATTAAAAGTAACGCATTCATCGTTTATTTTCTGAGTACGTTGTTGTCAAAAGGAGACGGCTCAGGTCGAAGATCAAACTAACATTTATATAAAAAGGCCAAATTAATTTGAATCATGTTCAATAGCTGAAGAGCCGTTCTGCCCCCTGCTGATGCAAAGTGGTACTGCATCCCCACCAACATTTAGTGAGTAAAGATGACGTCATAAAAGCTGATTAATTAGCTCCTCTGATTTAGGGCTGGGCGATTTGGCCTAAAATCAATATCACAATATATTGAGGCGTTCACCTTGATAACGATAAATGGACGATAACTACATGCATGCGTGAAAAACTGTGTGTGGACATGAACGTCGCCACCCGTCACACATCTTTTAATTATCCAATTTATTGTCATGGGAAAAAACGACGATGTCGATAACGATACATTTTGGACTTATCGCCGGCCCTAACTCCGATTCCTAAACTACGGATGTGAGAATCTCAGAGCCGCTGCGGGAACAGAGACTGGTTTCGTACTCACGTCCCACCACAGAACTCGATGGAGGTGAGGGAACCCGCCGGACTGTTGGGATCGTTCAGCAGCTCCTCAACGGGAACGCCGATGGAAACGACCCGGACCGGGTCGGGGTAGGTCTCATCGAACACGGCCCGCAGACCCTGGATGGCCTTGGCTTCTGCTAGAGCGGCTTCTTTGGCGTAAACCGGCTGGTTTGGATGCATCAGAAATAAAATCATTAAATATAGCATTTCATTTTTTACAGATAACATCAAACGACAAAAGTACTGTTTAAACCGGTTCTTTTCCAGGTTGTTTCCATTTAATGTTTATGGGCACCACTTTACAATAAGGTAATTAAATTAGGGATGGAGGCACCGATACGATACCGATATTGATACCAGTATCGGTAATAGTTAATCGATACCAGGAACCGATACCAATGCAGTTGCTTGAAAATGGCTTCACTGTAACTTGTCATTTCTGTTCACCTAATATTTTAGTTTTGTGATGATTTCTATTCATATATTTTACTTTTATCTACCACACAGTCTTTTCCTGTTGAAAGCAGAGAAGAGAATAAAATCTGTATCCCAAATCATTGCATTTTTTTTGGTGGTAAATGTATCGGTATCGGTAATCGGTATCGGCGAGTAGGGCTGCTCAATTAATCGAATTTTAATCCCAATTACGATCTGAGTTTTGAACGATTATAAAAACAAAACAAGCAGATTATTTGCTCCTCCCACTTGCGCTGCCCTGAGTTGCAAATTAAGCGCTCCTCCTACAGTGTCGCCAACTTAGCGACTTTGACGCTATTTCTAACAGCTTTTCAGACCCCCTTCTTGACTTTTTTATCCTAAAAGTACCTAGCGAACACCTCAGAAACATCTCTGGGAACCCTTAGCTACTTTCTGGATAACTGTTGTCGACATTTCCTGCAGGTTAGCTAAACACTCCGCCTGCGCTCCGGACCGTTCTTTAGGACATTAGGAAAGGGAATGATGTAGTGATGTGTCAGTCGCTACAGAAACGGCTCTCGGAGCCGGCTCCCTGTTGGATTAACTAGAGTGAGTGACACATACCATACCTGCGGGCTCCTGAGCCGATAAAAACGGCTAAATGTGCGCGTGCGGCGTGCTAAACACACGTGCAGCTTGCCCCCGATTGCTGTGAGACCGGGTTTGGGGGTGCAGCTGTGGTTGGGACAATTATTACATTAACTGATGGACCTGTAAATAAATAGTTTATAAATAAGGTAGAAATAAGTTCCTCACGCTGATAAATAATAACTAACCTCTCTGAGGACACGGTGCTAGTGCACTCTCCTACAGCACCTTGACACGACTAAATAAATGTTATACAAAATTTTGTGAACATCAATTTATTTGCATTTATTTGTTATAAATGCCACTGTATAATTCTTGCTGTCAGTATTTGCAAGATATTGGTATTTGGTTCTGTACTGGTTAGACTTACATGAGTTAAACCAAGGTCTATAGCCCTTGGGTCATAGACTATGAGCTATAAGTATGTTGGTCTTTTTATACTGGGAATCAGGAGTTCTTTTAGTGATCATCTTATTGATTTTTGTCCTGATTGTGCCCTGAGCAATTTTATGACAGAATAAAATCAAATGAAATCAACATTAATTGAAAAATTGTCTTAAATAATCGAGATCTCAATTTCAGTCACAATAATCGTGACTATTATTTTTGCCATAATCAAGCAGCCCTATCGGCGAGTACTCAGATCCGAGTATCGGCATCGTATCGGTTTGGGAAAAAGTGGTATCGTTGCATCCCTAAATTAAATAACACTAATATTAAATTATAATAATTGATAAAATATGTTACCTTTCTAAGAACATTTGTTGTACTTTATCACCAAGTTACACGTGAAACTAATCCTGCAACAACTATTGTGCCTAATAAACATTTAAAAATGCCAAAAGGAGCCCAAGAATGATATTATATGCTAAGAAATGATGTGTCCAGACACTCTTTGTGGTTACAAGATAGAACGTGAGTCAGAAATCTTTATTATAGCACCTAATAAACCGATTCTATGTGGCAAGAAACTGGCCATTTTTCTCTCTCACCTTTATCTAATGCCTAACACACACACACACACACACACACACACACACACACACACACACACACACACACAATTTATTTGTAAGGGAGTCTTTTTTATGAAGTGGTACCAGGAACCAGAACCCAGCTGCGTCGGCGTACCTGGGACCTCCGTTATTTTCTTACGCACCTTTGCATCTTTGATCATGGCACAAGCGATCTCCTCCGCCCGGCGGATCTCAGCCGTACTCAGAGCGCCTTTAGCTGTGAAATCAAAGCGCAGCCGATCGGGAGCGACCAGAGACCCCCTCTGATCTGCCTCGCCCAGAACGCCCCGCAGGGCGAAGTTCAGGATGTGAGTGGCCGTGTGGTTGCTCATGATGGGCCGACGGCGGGCCTGGAAACACGGTTCCGGTTGATCATTTTATCCAGCGACGAAAGAACAAAATCCTGAAAAGGCGCCTCACCTCGTCCACACACAGAGTGACCCGGTCTCCGACCTTCAGCGTTCCGTAGACGGTTCCAATATGGAGAACGTAGCCGCCGCGCACCTGCGTGTTCTTCACTGTGAACTCGGTCCGCTACAGAAAAACAAAAACCACAGAAGAGACCCGGTTTGGTTAAACTGATGTTTTAGATGTTCTGTTCATTCAGATTTAAAAATCACACAACAGAAATAATCCGGTTTGTTTCTTCTTCTCTTAAATCACCATCACTTCCCGACTCAGGAGTCTGTGAGCTCGAAAACAAACAAGCTCAAACGTCCTGTGACATTATCCGTTATTCATGAACTAGATGTAGATCAGTGGGGGGTCACGGCTAAAACCGTCCTCGGTTTAAATCAAACCATTACACGAGTTTCAGTCAGCGTTGCTAGGCAACGCTTCAGAGGCACCAGACCGCTGCACTTACATCCTCCATGTTGTCGTCCTCTCGCAGCATGTAGCCCTCGTCAAACGTCTGTCCTCCCTGCTCGGCGTAGAAGCTAGTCTGGTCCAGCAGCACGCCGCACTCCTGACCCGTGGTCACTTCCTGGCAGAAGGCCCGATCCCGGCGCAGAGCCAGAACCGTAGCCGAGGTCTGCTGGAACGCTGAGCAGAGATCGGACGCTTTAACCTCTCTGAACAGGAGAAGCGTGGACGTGGACGTGAACGTGACTCACCGTAGCTCCCGTTCTGGTCTGAGGTGTATCTGTATTTGGGGGAGTCGTCTGTGGCGGGAACCTGCGAGTTCCTCAGCTCCTCGATGGCGTAGATGTCCAGCATGATGTGGTCTTCGCCTCCGGCGCCTTTACCCTGGGACTTCAACTAAACACCACAGTTTGTTTAGTTTCATTTAAACGCCAAAAAAAGTCAGCAGGTTTGTCTCAGAGTAAACAGTGAATGACAGAATAAGGCTTTTTAATCGTCTAAAGGAAGGGTCAGAGCGAGGGTTGAGATTAGGGCGGGACGATTCTGGAAAGTAATCGAATTGTGATATTTTTCTTCGATATTGCGATTTAATTCATGATTATTTTCTCAAGGGGCTTTTCTCATATTTATCAACTAACGGAAGCAAAAAATAAATAAATCTATGTAACTTGTACTGAATATAAACAGTTTATGTATCTACATTAGGGCTGAAACGATTCCTCGACTTGATTATTATTATTATTATTCTGAGCTACTAAAGCAATCAAATTCCCTCTGGGATTAAAAAAGTATCTTTGAATTGAATTAAATTGAATTGAGTACCTCAAATAATTCGAGTACAAAAAAGCCTCGAGTCAAATTCTCTGCCTCGAGGCTTCGTTTGATTCATGTTTAATTAATTCATGGCTTTGCAATCGCCCGGGGTCATGTTTCACCCGGACCGAAATAAGTGACGCACATACACACTGCACTGAATGCACACGTGAGTAGCGAATGTAACTTAACTTTCTCTTAAGCCACGACGGACAACGTGGACCCTGGTGGAGTGTGAAAAAGACAGAAAATGTCTAAGGTGTGGGACGCAGCTCACACTGCGTCTGGTAGCAACACGCCGGACCTAAAAATGTGCTAAAAATAGCAGTTTTCACACAACACGTCGGTCTTTTTATTGTGTTGTTATTGATGTCTGTTGTCCCTCGGGGTTGCTGCAGGAGGACACAGGTATTTATGAGGAAAACGAAAGAACGTAAATTAATGTTTTGTGGTCAGTATAATTTGACACAACCACGGCAAACATGCTTTCTCGACAATCCTTGTTATTGTGTGAGAAAATAAAGTGTAGAAATTAAAACGGACGTGTGTTAATAGGGAGATAGCTGGTGAGCCATGTTTGCGCATGCGCCGCGAGCGGTTCTGGTGCTGGTAGATTCTCACACGAGGGGAAAATCGGCTCAGGTTGTATTAGGGATGTGAATCTTAGAGCAACTCATGATTTGATTCGATTCCGATTCTCGTGGTGCCGATTCTCGATTCTCAATTTAAATCGATTCACAATCACTATTAACATAGAATGTTGGCTCCAGGATGAACTACTTTGTTGTACAAGTTAGTTAAAGCTATGGGACGTTTTTATTTGACTTTAAACTGTCATGCTCCAAAATGCTAATTTACAATGTAAACTGAAGTGATTCTAAAACTGTAAACAGAAACAATCTTTTGACCAAAAGGTAACATTTATTTTTGCTTACCTTGTAAAATATAACAAACCTGTAGTTACCTAACAAATACCTAACAAATACTTTTCAAGTATGTGTAGAAACAAGTTACATGAGTAATCCTGAGTACTCATTTATCATCTTAGAAAATAAATATGAGAATATCTCAAATTTCTGAGTATGGAAAAAATGACATTCAAGTGCCCTCTTATCAGCAGATTCAAACATAAATCATCTCAATTTATGGGACCACAAAAGTAAACGCAGAACTGACTCTCCTAACAAAGATCAATAAAGTGCATCTCAAACCTGTAACGTGCCAAATATTTGAGTTCTTGGAATCGATTCTGAATCTTTATAAATAAGAATCCCGATTCAGACTTGAATCGATTTTTTTCAGCACCACTAGGTTGTTTACTTATTTTTTGCACAGGCATTTGTTTACTGTGAAGTAAAGCTGAAGTGCTGAAGTTTTGAAAACTAATTTTGAATAAAACTTGAAGAATAACTGGCAATAGCTAGCTCATTTTAAGAGGTCTATCATATTTTATAACATGCTATTTGATATAATGGTTTACAAACACAAAAGGGTCATTTATTAGAGTACTCGATTAATCGATAACTCGATAGAGTACTCGATTACAAAAATATTCGATAGCTGCAGCCCTACTATATTTCATATTATATTTCATATCAACAAGTTTTTTTGTCTACATAAACAAAAACACTCACAAGTGAAGACAAAATGTATTTGAAGGTGCGATCCTTTGCAGCCAGGAGCACATCCCTTAAAGGAGCATTAGGTGTTAGCATCAACGGTGAAAACTGATTTACAGGAAAGAAGTGTGGCCCGTTTATTAAAGTCTGTTGTGTTTACAGTTTTTGACGTTTTGTCCATGCAGAGCTTCCGTAGTTCAGTTACATCCATAGCTGCTAGCCAAAACTCAGTGAAGTTTTCTAGCTTTACTAAAATATTTGGACTCATTTGATTGATGGCAGTTTTTACTTTTTATTAGACTCCAAATGTAATCATTTGGCACGTTCCTAACTCATAATTTGTAAGAATGTAATCGGCAATATTAGCATCCCTATGGGTTTTTCCATGTATATTAGCGTTGTGCTAACCACTCGCTGACAGTTAAATCGCAGCCTTTGCGATTAGAAAATCTCCTTTTGTCACATCGCAATTTAATTGAAAATGCAATTAATCGTTCAGCCCTAGTTGAGATCGTTGTTGACCTGTAAAGAGGTAGAAGATCAAGTGATAAACAAATACGACTAGTTTTATGATACTAAATAACAACTGAAAAATAAAAAAATATCCATTTAACCCAGACGTTGTTTCTCCTGACTCAGAACCAAATCCCAGCATAAAGCTTCTGTCTCACCTGAGCAGCTTTTTTCTCCTCCTCGAAAGCAGCCAGGTCCACTGCCATCCCTTTCTCCTCAGCGATGAGCGAGGTCAGGTCCAGAGGGAAGCCGTACGTGTCGTACAACAGCCAGGCGGTGTCGCCTGGGAAATGCCATGAAGAGGCGGGTCAGAAACAGGGAAAAGGAGCCAGTTGCTCCGGCAACGTGCACAGACAACGTCCTCAAACTTAAAGGGGCATCATGGAAGTTTGACAGCCAAAACATGTATAGAAATAATAAATGGCTTCTTCATACATTCTCCTGCAATGCCCTGGTCCTGTAGAATGAGATCTGGCATTTTTACTGTGATTGCCTGTTTTTCTGTAAAATCACAGAAAAAGAGAGATGCTCGGGTCGAGCAGGCTGCTTCATGCGCGTTCACGCTCAGGCATCGCCCGTAGCATTTGCTATCAGTAGCTTTAGCAGCAGAGAGAGAGAGGCAGTGCCACTTTGTCGCTGTTCCTAACGCCTAGTGACAAAGCTAGCTACATTTCTGAGGACCCTTAGCTACTTTCTGTAGAACTTTCTTCTAGATATTTCCTGCAAATTAGCAACAAAATAGCCATTTTCACTCCAAACCGTTCTTTGAACGCTTTAGCTCACCTAGTAAGATGTCAGACTCTCGTGCAGAAGGCCTGGGTTTGATTCTGGGTGTGAACATAGTTTAGAGTTTCTTTTTTACATTAATGGTATATTTTTTTACAGTAAGATGCCCAAATTTTTATTTGAGACTCGCCGAACGGCATTGAATTCACAGATAAAAAAGAAGTGGGTTCAACTTTCATTTTGGAACAATTTTTCAATCAAGGGAAGGGAATGATCTGAGCATGCAGGAGGACTGACCCATCATAAACCTTTGTCGGCTGTGCTGAAGAGAAAGGTACAGAACCAAAATATTTAATTAATTAGCTGCGCGTTCTCCTGTCCTCTGTCCCCCCCCCCCACACACACACACGGGACTGTCTCAGCTGTTATTTTCGTTAAGGAGTGTGCACGTACAGCATGCGCGCTTCGTGCACGAGCTGCCGTTACGCTTTTGGCCTGACGGGGCAATCGCGAGCATAAAAATTCAAAACTCCGTAAAGTCCCTTTAACACAGAGAAAATAAAAACCAGAGAAATGCAAATGCTGCAGGAGGTTTATGATCACAGCTGATTTTAGGTTGTTGATAATAATTAATGATAGTAGTGACGTCTATGGAGCGTCTCACCTGGGATGATCTTACAGTCTCCCAGACTCACGATCTTCCTGTCTAGGATGCGGCGCCCTCTGCTGAGGGTTTTGAGAAACTGTGACTCCTCCTCGTTGATGATGTCCTTCACCATTTCTGGATCTTTCTTCAGTTCCGGGAAAGCCTCGCCCTGCAGGACGGATGGGGGGAGGCGGGTTAGGAGTATCGCTACTAGGGTTGTCACAGTGTGAAAATTTTACCTCCCGGTTATTGTGACCAAAATTACCACGGTTTTCGGTATTATCGCGGTATTTTTTTTAAACGTGCTACATTTTCACACAATTAAATAAACCCTGCATGTCAGGACAGGGTATCTGCAGGTTTAAGGGAGCCAAATTTAAGACTTTTTAAGACCTTTTTAAGGCCACTTTGACCAAATTTAAGCTATTTTTTTAATTAAATTTAAACTATAATTTCCAGCTCTTGCCCGGAACCAGTGCGAACCACGTTGCGAACGTGGGATTAGTCATCCAGTTACCATAAAAGTTGCACGTCCCCATGGTGCAATCTCCCACTAGCTTAAACAGCTAATGTGCTCATCTAAAAAAGCCCCCTTTCATAACCAACTGAATGTGTACGGTTCCGCTTACGCCAACATCGTACACAAAAAATGCTGAACACTAACTAGAAATTCATGAAATTTGAGATAAAATAATCTTGTTTATTGTGTCTTTGGTAATTTAAGACCTTTGGAAACTGTATTTAAGGATTATTAGTAATTTTTAAGGATTTTTAAGGCCTTAAATTTGGAAAAGCTAATTTAAGACTTTTTAAGACTTTTTAAGGACCCGCGGATAACCTGCAGGAAATATTGTCATCAGTTTGTGTCTAAATTTTGCCTAAAATGTGTTATTTTGTAATTATGTTGTTCATTTGTTTACATTTTTTCCCTTTAGTCTTTAAAATACCAACATTTGCCCACAACTTCTTATTTATTGTCTGTTTGATGTCATCATTTTAAAAGTATTACATCAGATGATACTCAGTACTCAAGTAGCCTTCTAATCTGATACTTTTTTACCCTTACTTGAGTAATAACAGATTTACATGTAAGTAGTTTAAATAGAGTGCTGTGCTGTTTGAATGTATAAACTGAACGCCAAGAGAAATCACTAGTTTGATTTTTTCCGTGAATAAAATAAATATGTCAGGCTGGAGCGTCTCAGGATCTGTCTGAGATCTGACTCGGTGAGACAGATAACAGCAATCCAAAGTGCTTTTTATGTGTGATCTGACAATTAATCAACCATTGCTTAAAAATTAAATACAGCTTAGCCGGTTAATTGCTGTGATCATAAAACACGTAAACGGCAGCACGCAGAAACACGAGGCAACGTTGTACTTGACGTTTACTTGTTGCTATGAGTAATAAGACAGAAAAAGCCCCGCCAAAATAAGTTTAGGAAGCCCACTAAGAATCGTAATAAAAGCATTTAAAATAAATACCATACACAGTTGAGGAAACGTTGGTTTAAGTACCTGATATGAAGCGGTCGCTGCATAAGCGAAAACCTTTACTCTCGGGATCCCACAGTTTCATTTTAGCCCGGTCACTAGCGCGTTTTATTACAATGATCCAACGTTTGCGGCGCTCCGGATCTTGGGGAATCCTGTAGATGGCTCATTCCTTATGTCGTCCGCGTCTGTTCTGCATCCTGGGGCACAACAGGAATCTACCATGTTTCCCATTTGATTGTTTTCTGACAATAACAAATCGTCCAGCTGCGGGCTTCTGCCTGCCAATATGGCGCCGTTTCGATTTGAACTGTTGCATGCCGGGAGAAGTGACGTCAACTCCCGGAGCTCTATATCAGGAAAATATTGTCCTCGGTTTTTGTCCTTCCAGTGAGCTTTGCAGATGTGGGAAAATGTCATCAGGCAGCAATCATTGTTAAATTCATAATTATTCTCGGAGAGAGACCAACTCTTATCTGCCCCTGGGAGCCCCGTAATGCATAGCGTCATTTCAACATGGGGGTGTCCACGACACGGTTTATATGCAGGTAGCGGCGCTGCGGCTGCTTTATATAGCGACTCGTTGCATTCTCCCTCAACCCAAATCCTCGGACCACGCATTTTAGCTAAAACGCTAATGTTAGCTTGCCTTGCGTTGACTGTAGAGTGGTGGGTGATGGTCATGCAGATGTGTCATGAGATTTGAAGCGTTGCTGCCTTTCACAGACACTTTTTCTGCACGTGCTGCAAACAGGATAGCCGTCTTCTATCAGCTGTCCCTCGGCATTCTTCAAATATCCAAAAGATGCCTGTACTTCCCACTTTGTCTTCTTTGAGGGATAATAAATGTCCTGAGTGCTGCCGTCTCCTCCTTTGGCCATTATTTCAGCTTTAGCTTCAAGAAAGTTTTGGTTGTAAACAACAAAGTGCGCATGTGCCGCCGGCAACTTCAGCAGATGATACGGTGGCTGGTAAGGGTCACCGCGCCTACACCGCAGCCACGGTAAACCCACCGAGATAATATAGTTTTTTAAAAAACAAGACGGTTATTATTATTGTCAACTTTTTTACTGGGGTTTACCGCTACACCGGTTACCTTGACAACCCTAATCGCTACACGACGATGCTAATCTGAAAGGGTTTGTCCTCTCCAAGTAATCAAACAAAAACCACATCAGCAAACCTGTTCTTCTCTGCTGTAGCCAGAAACGCACCTGTAATTTTGCAACTCATTAAATATTTTTTAACAATGAATATTCAGGGAAAACACTAAGTGTTGGTAAAATATGAGCCGTAAACACGACAAAAACCAGAGTAGAGTTATCTTTGCTGTTAGACTGATGGACACAATAAAACAAACAGGAAACAAACCAGCGACTCGACCACGACGTCAACCAGAGAAGCAAAGAACCCCCTCTGAGCTCCCAGCTTCTCGTGGGAGTAACGAACGGCACGACGCAAAATCCTCCTCAAAACGTAGCTGGAAAACAAAAACATCCCAATGAAACACAAAAAACCTTAAAAATCACAGCTTCGCTTGGATAAATCCGCTCACCCTCTTCCCGTGTTGTCGGGCCGGCCGCCGTCGGACAGGGCGATGGTGATGGTGCGTGCGTGGTCGGCGAGGACTCTGTAGGCCATGTCGATACCATCAGCATCGTCAGCACCGACTTTCCCGGTATACAGACGGGCTCCGGTTCCCTGAAACAAACACTGTTAAACGTCTCTCACTTTGACCTTCAGGTGAATAAATCTGTCTCCGTACCTTCTGAATGGCCTCAAAGTAAGGAACAAAGAGGTCCGTGTCATAGTTGGACATCTTGTTCTGGAGGACAGACACCAGACGTTCCAGACCCATCCCTGTGTCGATGCTCTTCTTGGGAAGCGGCTTCAGCTCCGTCTCAGACTCTCTGATGAGCAGGAACAAGAAGATACTCCTCCATAAACATGATTCTGTTCCCAAATGAAGCTCCTGCAGACCTGGAGCCGTTACCTGTTGAACTGGATGAACACCAGGTTCCAGATCTCCAGAACGTTGGGATCATCCATGTTCACCAGATGGGAGGCGTCTCTTCCTCCGATCCGATCGTAGTGGATCTCACTGCAGGGACCACAGGGACCGGTGTCTCCCATCTCCCAAAAGTTATCCTTCATGCTTCCTGGCAGGATGCGGTCCTCCTCGACCCTGAGCAACAAAGCACACACGCACACTTTGTAGGATTTCCTCTCTAAAGACCACAAGATACCTGGAAAGGTGTAAAGTAGAGCAGGAGATGGTGGACCATGAAGGAAGTCCTACTGAAGCAGCGCGGGTCAGAATTCCTCCAGAACCGGACCGATGAGGTCTAACGTGTTAACGTCACTGCTGGATGTTTGAGTTTTAAGTGAAAACGACGGAACCTTCCTACCAGGTGACATCTGATCTGAATTGCTTTTCCAGACTCACCCGAGGTCCATCCAGATCTGCTTACACTCCAGGTCGGGCTCCAGGCCGGCGTCGGAGTTTCCCCCGAAGTAGGTGACATACAGTCGGTCTATGGAGATGCCGAACTCCTGAGTTAGCAGCTCCAGAGCCATCTTACACGCCAGTTGCTGCAGAGACAAGGCAAATCTTAAAGGTGCATTATGAAGAACATTGCTGCAACAAACGCTTATTTGGATCATCGATGAATCGGACTAAACGGGAAAATGTAAAAATCGCTAGGAAAACATTTTTTCTCTTCTTCCTTTACTTTAACAGAACATAAATAGAAAACTGTTCCAATAACGTGCAAAACAACATGCTCTCTCCTAAATGTATCCATAATTAAACTATGATCAGTAAAATCATGTATTTCATTGACATGTTCAGTATTAAGCAACTGGAAATACTAATAACATTTCATTTCTACTGCTTAAAATGTAATGGTGACATATCTATTGCGTATGGGTTAACAATAATCCAGTTTAAATTATGTTTGCAGATAGAAGCGTTTGTGAATTAAATGCTACAGTGGCTTGCCGTATACCTTCAGAGGGTTGGACAGAGCAGACTCGAAGCAGTAACCTGGCTGCAGCAGCGCCGGTTCTGCTCCGTAGCGCTGCAGAACACTAATGAACACGATAATGGGACTTTTTTCACCTGTAGAGTTTAGATGTTCTTAAGCCTGATTCATGCTTCTCCGTCAGCTCCAAAATGGAGAGACACTCACGCATGGACGGACAGAGATGTTTTGCCCTCATGCTTCTCCGTCTCCTGGGGAGTGTTGCAAAGCAATTCCCCGCCAGGACAACAGAGGGCGTAGCGCTGTTCGGTGGTATCCTGTCATGTTTCGGTCCAAGATAGTGTGTTTGTATTGTGTTTTTTTGTTTATAAGAGACTTTTTAAAAAGGGACAAATTTGTCTCTCATCCTCCTCCACCTCTTCATGCGCTCGCCATCTCTAAACCCACGTTTCCTGTCATTTCCGTCCACAAATAAAACGCCTGCTGCGCATTCATATTTTTAGAGTTTTTTCGCGAGCTATTCTTCAAGCTTCTCCGTGTCTGTCGTTAGTTATCCTCGGCTCTCTATGTTTTTGAGGGTGCAATGGTGGCGGTGTAGACGACAGCGGTGCCCTGGCCAATCACAAGCTTGCGTTCTCCATCTCGACGGACGGATGTTTAGAAAAGAGAGCTCGACTCTGTACGTCCTTGCGGGGCTCTCCAGCAGGCCTGCAAGGACGGATAATGGCGTTGCGTGTCTCCACGCAGACGCAGAAGCATGAATCAGGCTTTAGTTTCACAACCATCGTGTTTTTTCTGAACCCGCTTGATCGTGAGCCTACTACCCGCTAGAATTAGCTAACCTGCTTGCAGTTACACTTTGGATACCAAACTTCGGACTGCTTCTGCGTCTTTGCTGGTTTCTCTGTTTTCCTCCACAGCACCTGGTTTTAGCACAGCGTGTGCCGGTAAAAGGCATCTTCCTTACACAATAATCACACGTGCGACATAAATGTGTCTCTGGTTCTGATCTGCCTCGGTCTGCTCTGCTGCCGCATCAGATGAGCTGCACGCATTGACTTTACATAAAGGTTGCACAACATGACAAAAAAGTTGCACAACCAAACGAATAGATGACGAAAAGTGTCGCCAACGCATTTCTTCATCGAATTTTATCGATTTGTTGTTGCAGCCCTAATGTAGAAATGAAGTAAAAATGACATCATGTGGTAAAATATAGTTCCTGCAACCACTTTAAACAACTTTGGTGCTTTTTGCGAGCAGTCAATTGTCGGCGTTGCTGCATTAAGCTTGGTTTATGCTTGACGCGTCCGCGAGGTTTGCACGGCTCCGCGCGGCAAAATTGCGTCATTTTAACAACCACGCCCCTCCACCTGGCCCAAACTTTCCGCACCGCGCACCTAGGAAATTTTCTAACCACGCGGACGATCGGACGCGGAAAAACATGGCGGACTGGCAAGAACTAGTATGGCAGAGGTTGGTAAATACAGACATTTGTATGATTCAGCTCTCAAAGATCACCGTGATCAACATGTTGTTAATAATTCTTGGAGAGAAATAGCTCGCACTGTCGGAAAAGCCGAGGACGCTGTTAAAATGCTGGAATGCCATGTTGTAAACAACAGTAATTTTTACTTCTACTATGGTGTAGTGTTGGATGCATGTCGTAGAGCTCCATGCTGCCCCCTACAGTTTGGGAGAATATTGGCTCACCGCAGAGACGAGCCACATGAACCATAAACGCTGCAAGTTGTGAAGCGCGTTCCATCCGCGAGCCGCATCACCGCGCGTTAAGTAAATGCGTCAAGCATAAACCAAGCTTTAGCTCACAAGAGACACGACACCCCCACACTCACTGATGGTAAACAGTTACGTCCCTCCTTCTTTGTTTTGAAAGGCAAAAAACTGAAAATCCAGCAGCCAGCTGGATATGAAATATGTTTCAGTTTAACCTTCCTTCCAAAACGACTCAAAGATCAGACTCTTTTGGGATTTTCTCACTGTAAAATTATCACTATATTCTTACATACTGCACCTTTAACAAAAAACAACAACAAACAAATCTAATTTGACCAAAAAACAACTAAAGTAGTTTACCTTAAAATAGTCCCCAAAGGACCAGGACCCCAGCATCTCAAAGAAGGTGTGGTGGTACACGTCTTTGCCCACATCGTCCAGGTCGTTGTGTTTCCCTCCGGCACGGATGCACTTCTGAGTGTTGGCAGCACGGCGCAGCTTGGCCATGGGGTGGGAGGGATCGATGGTATTCAGGAAGATTGGCTTGAACTGAAAGAAAAAGATGCAGAGTCAAAAACACATGCTGCTTGTTTTTGAGAAAATCTGAAACTGTGGGTGAAAATGTTAGCAAGTGGGAAGAAAGGAGCTAAAGCTGGTTTACGGCGAGTACCTGGTTCATGCCGGCGTTGGCGAACAGCAGCGTGGGGTCATCCAGCGGGATGGTGGATGAGGAGTGGACATACTGGTGCTCATATCGGACGAAAAAGTCAATAAACTTCTGGCGAATTTGAGCTGCACTTAAGGTCGAGTCCATTCTGAATCAGCTCTCTGCACAAAAACCCAAATTCAGATTAAACAGGAAGCTCGGCGGCAAGGTTCAGGCTCCAAGAATCCTTCTGGCTGAACTATTTTTGTTTTCAACAGCCAAAAGATTCATTCAATTCAGTTTACATAATGCCAATTCACAAGAGTTGTCTCAAGGCACTTCACAAAGTAAACATTATCAGACCTACGTAAAAAGTTTCCTATAAAAGTAACCCAGCAGGTCGCATCGAGTCACTGACTAGTGTCAGAGTCTTAACAGCAATCCCCACTTTTTAGTTTTGTGTTACAAAAATAGAACAAAACTTTAACAGGAATGGAAGAATCAGGAACGCACTTTCCTCTCACTCGCTCATTTTAGACTAAATGAGAATTTTAATTTTTACTTGTTTTCACGTCTATGTGTGTGCACCATTTTTATCAGAGGAGATTTCTGACAGATGATTGCACAGAAACCAGTGTGACCCAGGAACTTCACCGAGAGAAGCTGCATGGTAATAACCTGTTCTCTATCCAGTTCTCCTGCCTGTCTTCTGCTCCAACAGCAGCTTATTAAACTTGTGAGACGTAAAAGATTTAATCCGGCATTCAGTTCAAACCACACCCAGAAGAACGATCCCAAACAGCTCAGAGAGGCGATCTGTTCAGTAGCATCTGGAGGACAATACCATTCATCGTGAATTACAGTTTTGCTCCGCTGGAACGGTGTCCAAAGTGTAGTCTGTCGGCCATTTGCAGCTTTGAGTAAATTTGTGCAGCTCTGCACAAAACTAGAGTTCAGGAAGGTTTGAATGTTGTCCTCTGACACAAGATGTTGATGCAGATTAGGGCTGCACGATATTAGGAAAACCTGTGATATGCGACAACAGTGATTAACATTACGATGACAATAATACTTGAAACAAATAAAATTTTAACTCAGGAACAAAAATGATCAAAAACAAAGAAATAAAAAAATGACAAGGCGATGTCTTGCTAGGCCAGGCGCCTTAATTACGAGGACACGGTCCTTCCATGGTCAAAGAAAACGGTTAAATGAAACAGACTTGCATCACGTGACCGCGGCTTCTACGGCGGTCATGTAACGTCATGTGACACGGGAGATAACATTAGATTTTATATGTATTAGTTTCAATATAAATATATAACGAGACTTTTACTTTTTAAATTGTGTATATGTTTATTAAATCAAATATATAAGTGAGTTACTACCCGCTAGCCACCGAAGCTGCAACTACTAAGCAACTAACCAACCATAGATAACTTCTTTGGATCTAAAAAAAAAACATAAAATTAGCTGACTTACTTTTAAATAGGACTGCAGGATATTAGGAAAACCTGCGATATTCGATGACAGTGATTAATATTGCGATGACTATATTACTTGCCATAAATAAAATCTTAATTCAATTCAATTTTTATTTATATAGCGCCAAATCACGACAAGAGTCATCTCACTTCACATAGTAAACATTCCAATTCAGGTCAGTTCATTAAGCCAATCAGAATAATGTTTCCTATATAAGGAACCCAGCAAATTGCATCAAGTCACTGACTAGTGTCAGGCATTTTACAGCAATCCTCATGCTAAGCAAGCATAAAGCAACAGTGGAGAGGAAAACTCCCTTTTAACAGGAAGAAACCTCCAGAGGATCCTGGCTCAGCATAAGCAGCCATCCTCCACGACTCACTGGGGATCGAGAAGACAGAGCAGGTGCGCGCGCGGCAGCATCTAACCTATGAGAACCCACCCAATTGACCAAAAGGGTGAAGAGCTCTATTTGATTAGTTAAAAAAAAATCATGCTTCCGTCTGATGAACAGAATGCATTATGTGTAGCAAACATTTGAGCTGACTATTCATTGCGATATTTATCTGTTCTTTGCGATATGCATATTGAGTGTGCTGATATCGCGATAACGATATATTAGCGATATATTGTGCAGCCCTAATGCAGATTGATGCTTTTTAACATTTATATGTAGAGTTGTACTAATGTGAGGCTTAACCAAAAATACTGATGAATTAAAAATATATTTTAAAGTTAAAAGCTCGATCCAGACTGGGTCTAAAAAACACAATAAAAATACTTAAAAGAGAAAATCAATTAAGTAAAAAAAGACCCTTGAGTGAATAAAAGTGACATCTTCAGGTTTTATATTTTACTTGTTACAACATAAAAGATGATGAAGTGATCTCCTGAGTGTTTGCACTTGGGAACATGACAGCAGGGCTTCACAAGTCCCATCCTCACAACCAAATCCCATGTTTATGATGGGATGGAACTTTATGTCCAGGCTGGTCTTCAACCAAATTATCCCAAAAAAGCGGAAGTAGGAAAACAGGGAAAACTTATGCAGGATTTTTTTCCCTTTTTCATTGGGCAGAAAAACTGAAACACTGAAGGAAGAGAATTAAGCCAAAAGTCCATCTGAACGGGTTCCTCAAACCACTCCCCACCTGTGATGTTAATGCAGGAAATCCGATTAAATAAATTCCTGACAGGGATGTAATATGGGGCGAATCCTTTTAATCGTCGTAAAGCTAATTTCTGAGGTTGTAACACAAGTAGAAACAGATTTTAAATGCCGGGCTGACACAAGCTTGACATGTTAGCAAGCTAACATCCTAGCCGGTCAAGCTACCTTTTTTGTTTTGGCTACGTTGTAGAATTCAGAGCACAACTGTGACAGGTAACCTACTCAGGTAAACGGTTTGCTGACCAATTTATACCTAAACACGTAGGTGCAGGATAAAACTCGCAGAAGTGGCTGTTCTCACAGAATGAATCAGTTTCAGCTCCTCGCTGCGCCGCCTCGATCCACGCTGCTCGGACAGAAGGAAAGCGTAGAAGAAGAGAACATGCCCATAGAAACTGGCCATTGGTCCAGACACAGATGTACGTCATCAAGCGTCCAATCCTATTGGATAACATCACTGTCAGTCTTGACCAAGCCCGCCACATCAGGTACAATCTTTTACTGCTCTGGCTGATGCAATGAAAAAGACGCAGGTGCCAACAGTCTTATTCCTTTACTAACGTGTAAAACATGTGATGGTTATAATGTTTAGCCTCAATAAATGAGGAAAACATTCAACTCAGTCTTTTGATGGTTTTCCGAACTTTAATATTTTTTGTGTTGACGTTTTGCGCTGCGCAAGTATGTGCGCAAGGCACATCTATGATTCAATTTGCCTTTAATTTAGACATTCGCACTAATTTATTACATAGCGTTTTTTAAATGCAACGTAGTAAAATAATGAGTTAACGCTGCTGTGTATGAACGACTTTCTACAGGTAAAAATGTCTTTGGCCGCCTCACTAAAACTTAATACGTGTCAGAATTGTGTAAGTTTGAAAATAAAGTTATTTAAAACCAATGAGAAGGACATTTTGGATTTGTTAGTTATAGCCATATATATGTATATAAATACATATATGTTTATATATACATAGTATGGTTGTTGCGGTACATCCAGCAAATTCAACATTACAAAGCAGTGAATTGTCTTGCAGGTTTTTAATCTTTGGTTGCTGGGTAACTGTCGCCCTCTTCTGGCTAACACCTGTCATTACCACAAATGAAGTGTTAGCAAAGAAATAATTAAACCTACACCATTTTTTACTTTTACATATATTTGAATTTATTAAATGAAGTAATAATTATACAACGATACCGTGTCTTCTGATGAAAAGATATTAAATAAAAAATATAAATATCAATATTTAGTCATAGAAAATATGTCTCAAGTGTGACTGAATTATTTTTATGTTTATGTATTTAGCAGACGCTTTTGTCCAAAGCGACTTACAGGTGAAAATCAAGCCAGCAGGTTACCCTTGAGGCTAACAGTAAACACTATGCAGCCAATCCTGTTGTTAGACGGTATGTAAATCTCTTATGTATTTACTATTAAGAACTTTGTCCAACATTGTCCTTTTTAATAACATGAATCCAAAGTGAATAGAGTCATTTATTAATCAGAATTTTATTTTGAAATTTTAATACATTTCTGGGCTTTAATAAACTGCAAGGTAACTATAACATTATTGACTGGTATAGTGTGTGACTTAAATACTTTTAAAATACAACAACAGTTTGTTGCATCGCTTTAAACTACATAAAAAAAAAAGCTGATGAAACATTGCGGAACACAGTAGGAACTAAAATTTAAGGGAACTTTTCCAAGAGCATCTGGCTGCAGACATCAGCTGGCGTCTTTGCCGTGACAGGAAATGACGTATCCGGAAAAACAAGTGTCATTACCTTCGCCGGAAGTCATTACCTTCGCCGGAAGTAGTTTTTTTCTTGAATACGCTTTATTGACAAAGCACAAAAGTAGCTTGAATTTGTCAAAACCATACCGTGTCATTTTTCTCTTCAATTTGTACATATTTAAGAGAAAAATTACACGGTGGGTCATTACCTTAACCAGAAGTCATTACTTTCACTGGAAGTAGTTTTTTAAAAAACAAAACTTACTGGAAAAAGCTTTTTATTTAGGATTTTTTTTTCTCTTCAGATCTGGACTGGCAAATTTATGTAACGTTGTTACCTGCGTTGCATGAAAATTGAACATTAAATCCCTTTGTCCTTCAGACAGGGAATTTTTATGACAGTAGCACATATATATATATATATATATATATATATATATATATATATATATATATACACACACACACACACACACAATAAAAGGCTGTAAAGTGAATTAAAAAAACATATGGAAAAATTGAGAACACATTAAACTAAGACTTCAAAATGTGCAAACAAAATAGTACTTGCTAAATATTCAGTTTTATTGTTAAGCCCAAGATGAACTTTTGACCTACACCAGTTGCTAAGTACAGGACTCCCAGAAGCAGTGAAAAACATTTCAGCAACACTCATCTCTCACCAGCAACAAAAATTAGTTATTAAGTATCCATAACACTGTCCTATTGTGTATCACAGCAGCTCATTGCAACAGAATTTAACTACTACAGCTGATAACTATTTAGCTAGTTGGTATTTATTTTGAGTGAAAGACAATAAAACCAAAGAAACACTTAATTTCACAACCATTTTATTTTGGGTACAAATGAATTTGTTGAAGCATGGCTTTCTCAGCTGCATATCGATTCATCCCCTCCCATTTTTCCAACACTTTTATTGTTACCTGAAAAACATGCAAGATTACTTCATCGTCGTCGTCTTCCTCTGCTTATCCGGGTCCGGGTCGCGGGGGCAGCATCCCAACTATGGAGCTCCAGACCGTCCTCTCCCCGGCCACCTCCACCAGCTCCTCCGGCAGGACCCCAAGGCGTTCCCGGACCAGATTGGAGATGTAACCTCTCCAACGTGTCCTGGGTCGACCCGGGGGCCTCCTGCCCGAAACACCTCTCCGGGGAGGCGTCCAGGAGGCATCCTGACCAGATGCCCAAACCAACTCAACTAGCTCCTTTCGATCCAGAGGAGCAGCGGTTCTACTCCGAGTCCCTCCCGGATGTCCGAGCTCCTCACCCTATCTCTAAGGCTGAGCCCGGCCACCCTACGGAGGAAACTCATTTTAGCCGCTTGTATCCGCGATCTCGTTCTTTCGGTCATTACCCAAAGCTCACGACCATAGGTGAAGATTGAAACGTAGATCGACCGGTAAATCGAGAGCCTGGCTTTCTGGCTCAGCTCTCTCACCACGACAGATCGGCTCAGCGTCCGCATCACTGCAGATGCTGAACCAATCCGCCTGTCGATCTCCCGATCCCTCCTACCCTCACTCGTGAACAAGACCCCGAGATACTTAAACTTCTCCACTTGAGGTAGGACCTCTCCCCCGACCCGGAGTTGGCAAGCCACCCTTTTCCGGTCGAGAACCATGGATTTGGAGGTGCTGATCCTCATCCCAGCCGCTTCACACTCGGCCGCGAACCTACCCAGCAAGAGCTGAAGGTCAGAGCTGGGTGAAGCTAGGAGGACCACATCATCCGCAAAAAGCAGAGACGAGATTCTCCTGCCACCAAACTCTGTTAAGGATTACTTCATACACTGTCAAATGTTTTCGAAAAGTAACTTTTATACCAATCACTGCTGAAGACTGCGTTGTACCTCTGGAACAAGGACATCAAACACCAAGTCCAGAAACTGGAACTCTCTCTTCTTTATTAGTTTATCTATTCCTGAGCATGAACCAATCCGCTCTGTCAGCTCGTCAACCTATAAAACACGTTAACATAAAAATGAACAAAACATTCCTCTCAGCATTAGACAACGGACCCAGGTGGCCCACTGACCATGCATCCACATAAATAAATGTGATGCAGCTTATTGTAAGTCAGTATACATTTACCTGTGCATCAGCAAAGTGGAACATCAGTGGCTTTAGTCTTTGCTTTAATTTAAGCGAGACACCTGGATTGTGCCACAGATACATGAGGCCAGACTTCACTCCACCGCTCAGTCTGAGTAGAGACAAGAGTTAAAAATAAGCAACATTACCACAGAAAACAAGGGATTGCATTATCCTATGTTCAATTTTAGAGTCTTAATTTATTATAATTAAACATTACCTTGACTTCACCATCTGAAATCACTGCCTGGGTTCCATTTTTCAAAGCCTCGATTGTCCTGTAATATGGATAAAAATACATCTTATTAGCAAATGAAGAATACAAGCACACGTAAGGAGTTTTGTCAGTGTCACTTGAAGAAGTCCGATATTCATTTTAGATCTATATTTAAAGGCCTCTAACTCCTGAATGATTTGCAGCTACATGTGCTTAAATCCGGTAATATTAATATAAACCAAACCCAATCAAAGCAGTCAGTCGACAAAAATATCTATTTTTTTTATAAGGTTAGGATTATTCTGAAACAGAATCAGAAGGAGGGCGGCATTAATTAGAGAAGCGGCTACTATTTCAAAGTTATTGTACCTGTTGCAGGACACCTGATTTGTGCAACCACAGTAGAATGACCCAGCACACCACACACAATAACTGAAAAATATTTAGAGATATTGAAAGCTAAGCTTGTCCAGAAAAATACATTTCATTTCTGGGTGCACAGGACCAGTTCCAGTGTGGGCCAGATGCTGAAAAATAAATTCATAAATCTGTCTTTTTTTGAAGTTTCACAAAACAGGAAGGTTTCACAAATCACAAACTATGTTTTATGCATTCCTACGAGCCCAGAATAATCTAAAACAGGTTTAAAGAGTGTATGTATTGTAGGTTTTGAGCTAGAGCAGAATAAAAATGGTCAGAGTAGAGAAAAATTGGGTGTATTAGCCCTTTAGCCATTTCCCGAATCGGAAGCTAACTTTAGCCTCGTATGAAAACTAGTGATTGAAACCACTTACAAATCTCTGAAAATCTACGCTTTTTAATTAAAAAAAGGGTATTAATAACGTTTCAGTCAAGTCAGTATTAGAAATCGTGGTCTTTATATAATATCTAAATTATATATAAAGTTAATATTATTACTTTAACTGTTTTAACAAACAGGGAGACCAGAAAAATCAAATAGCTAAGTTAAAGCTAAGCTACAATTGCTGATAGCTTTATTTATGTAGCTTTTGTGTTAGCTAGCTTGTGAACTCCCTGCATTCGTTTTAAGACTGCGTGTTAATATTGATACAATTAGCTATGAAACACGGTGCCTTTGCAATAATTCTCTGGTAAAGCTTTAAACGCTATAGTGCCTACATTTAAGAACTAAGAACGGTTGCAACAATTAGTTAATTTCATCCTTATCTTTCTTTCTTTATCTATCATCCTTATCCTTACCTTTCCTCAATTGAAACCCGCCGAGTATGGTTGAAACAAAAACAACGTAGCGGCCGCCACAAAAGGACCAACTTCCTGCCGAGGTCTTTCGCTCGTCGATTTTCCGGTAAAAGTAATGACACGCCATCTTGCTCTCGACACACCATCTGATGTCTGCAGCCAGGTCCTACTCAACTTTTCCGGAACACAGTAGGAACTAAAATTTGAGGGAACTTTTCCGGAACACAGTAGGAACTAAAATTTGAGGGAACTTTTCCACTCCCGTTGTAGTTCTTTGAGGACACATTTATGAGCGATCCACTTCCGCATGCACCATGCCGACAGATACGAAGCGGGTTCGTGGTCCGGACGTTTCTCAGAGCCCCGTGCTGCTCGGGTACAAACCCGCTGCGGTTCTAGCCTCGCGTGGGCCCCGAGAAGACGGTCGGCAGCGGGACCAAGTTGACGTCCGGCCGGTCTTCGTCCGCTGCGGCCTGGTGAGTCAAGCTAAAGGTTCCGCTTACATCGAAGCTGGAAACACGAAGCTGATCAGCTGCGTTTACGGACCCCGAGAAACCGATCGGAAAGACGAGACCGATATGAAAAGTGGGAGGTACGCTGCTTTATCACAATCACGTTTTCTGCTCGACAGGTTCAGCCTGATTGTTCATGTGTTCGAAAGTGAAGTTCGAGTGTTTTTTGTGATCATCAAACCTTCCCATTGGTAGAAAGAGCAAATGTTCTGGCGGCTAGAGGGAGATTTGAATCCTTAACTTACCCTAGGCCAGGTGATGTAGGTGAACTCCTTCCCAGTGACACTCTTAACTCAGCCTAGGAGAGCCAAAGGTGTTCCCAGACCAGGCAATTTACAATCAAACATGTCAGATTAGTTAGTTATTTGAATTATTTAGGTCAACTGGATATGAACAAGATAATTCAGTCTTTTAGTAGCAGGCTTCCGAGAATATGGACTTTTCCGCCCTCTGGCGGACACAAGCAGTTACAGCTTCCACGAGACTAACCCCTCAAAATAAAACAAACCACTTTTAAGTTTTTTAATTGGCGCCAACAGCACAATTAGTGTAGATAACGAGAAAGTCAGAGCGTGTGCACATATACAAACTACGTAACTCTTAAAACTTAATACATCTATGAGTTAAACAGGATTAAATCAACAAGCTAAAGCAGGGAGCATCAGCAGCTAGCTACAGCACTTAAATCATCAGATATCGCGCCCTCCGGTGGCAGCAAGGCGAAATGATTGTAGACTTGAAGAGATTTATCTAACTTTTTTTTAAATCAAATTTTAACCCAATAAAGCAAATTAGCTCAACCAACAGGAATTTGTTTTTATCAGTTTTCCAAGCGACTCGATCATTTTCCTTTACTTAACCTGAAAACAGAAGATTATTTTCATCGGATTGTAATGTTTGGGATGGTTTTGTTTGGGAAAATGATCCTATGTGCGTTTCTGCTTCCAGGCTGACCACTGATGTGCGTTTCGCCCCTTTTTCCTGCCCAGAGAGGGTCCCGTGGATCCAGGGCAGCCAGGACAAGGACCTGTCTCTGATGCTGCACGAGAGCCTGCAGCCGGCCGTGTGCCTCCAGAGATACCCGCGCTCTCAGATCGACGTCAGCGTGATGGTTCTGGAGAACAGCGGCTCAGCCCTGGCCCACGCCGTCACCTGTGCCTCCCTCGCGCTCGCGGATGCGGGGATTGAGATGTACGACTTGGTGCTCGGATGTTCCCTCCAGCAGGTTGGGAGCTCCTACGTGGTCGACCCGTCCTACCTGGAGGAGAACGGCTGGAGGTGTAACAGCAGCGAGAGCCGGGGCGGGCTCACAGTGGCCTTCCTGCCCAGTCTGAACCAGATTTCTGGGCTGCAGTCCGACGGTGAGATGTCTGAGGAGACCCTGACTGCGGGGGTTCGGACCTGCATCGAAGGATGCTACAAACTTTACCCGGTTATCCAAAAGGTCTTGACCAAAGCGGTCCGCCGGGCGGCGCCCCCGTCTGAGACCTGAGAGACGCTCCAACAGCTCAGCGTTTGACGAGTTTAATATGTAATAAAATAGCTAACTTTGTGTTGGTCTTTAATCTGGTTGACACACAAAAAAATTCTGATTCATGAAAAGGTAAAAAAATAATTAGTTTGAAATTCCCTCTTCCTGTCGAGAGCCTCTCACCACCAGAGGGCGCTGTGCACCTGAACACCACCACCAGAGGGCGCTGTGCACCAACAATCTGTTCTACTTCAAATGTCCTCCAATTATTTCTTCTAATACAAGCCAGTTAGAAACTAAACCTAAACGAAGTCTTAAAGTTAAACTAACATATCCGGTGTTTATTTACCTTTTCCACCGGAATATTTCTAGTTTTTGCTTCTGTGATCCTTTTCTGGAACCCTTTAGTCTTTAATCAACCTAAAAAACCAGCTTGACTACAGATCTGTGGGACGTTCTGGACAAACGTGTCCCACTCACCTGGAACAGGAGCTCAAGAAGAGCTGGGTCAGAACCACAGAAAACACAAAAGGAGGTAAAGTTCTTTATTTTTCTGTTGGGAATTTGACAAAAGAATGACATTCCAACATCTGAGACAGGAAATAAAGTCCAGCATATTGTTAAAAACACAACTAAAATCTTTTTAGCCTCACTGGGATCTGGAGTGAGGCGACCGCACCGTCCTCTCGGTCCTCAGCAGCTGACAGATAAAACAATCGTGACAGATTAGATCAGTCTCTTCTTTGCTCCACGGCTGTCGATCACTGTTCCTTCAGCCAAAAGCACAGCGGCTGTGGCATGGGAGGGGGGGCATCAGGGGAGGCAATGCGGGATTGGATGCTCAGCTTAAACTGTGTGAGACGTGATTGAGGGAAGGTGTCACGTTTCAGAGCCACAACATCAAATAAATTAATAAATAACTTAACACCAACGGAGTCGGAGCTCCTAAAAGCTGAAATTGTGTAAAACCACTGCAAACTACATCAATGTGTGTGTGTGTGCGTGCCTATCTGTAGGCCCGGCTGTGCCGCGGGTACGGCAACATGATTACGTCCACGCTACCTTCGCTGTCTGAGCTGCTGTCAGAGTCGCTGCTGCCGGAGTAGGCGGACAGTCCCGGTAAAACGCCGACACACACGGCCGCAGACGGGAGGTGCAACACGCCCTGGGCGGAGCTGAGGGGAACCGATGGGGTCTTCGCCGCCAGGCCAGGAACAGCTCGGTGGTCCTCAGGAGCCCCCACCTCTCCTGCTCCACCCTCCTGCTCTGAACAACAGAACATCCCGTTAAACGTGCCAACCAAGGGAGTGGGAAGACTGTTGGATTTCTGTAAAATTCTATTAGAACAGGTATGAACCATCCATAAAGTGACCCACTTATTATTTTTAGATCTCCTTTTATAGAAGGAGTTAGGTGTTAAATGGTGCTGAGGAGAGAAGATTCAGCTCCTCCCATCTGAACTCGATTAGCTCACCAATCGTTTAACAAATGTGTTTCCAAAGGCTGAATTTGTTGGCTCTACGTCTTTTCTTAACATTTCTAGTCACTTAAACATAAGCTGGACAGCTTTACTGGTTTCTTTTACTGCCTGGTTTCCTGTGAAGGCAGCGGTTCTGACAACAGAACACCGCGGCCCACCTGCGTGTCTGTCTCCATTTCCTGTTGAGGACGAGGATTTTTCCACCTTCTGCTTCTTGCTGCTCTCTGATGACCGAGAGGAACTGGTGATGAAACAAATCAAAACTTTAGATTTCCACACAAAATAAACACTTCCCCCCCCGCTGATAAAAAGACTCTGTAGGAAACAGATCAGTGATTTTTTTTATCTTCATTTTTGGGCATCAGGCTACAGGAGCAGTCGTCTGAGATCTGAAGTGATGAACTGAGACTTGTTAATTATACGAGATCAGGTCTGGATTAACTCTGTTATTGTGAAACCAATTCATGCTTGCTGCTTTTCCTTTGTCTAAAATTATGTGTGTGTGTATTACTGATAAAGACTTGTGCTTCTCACCCTGAGGTCGTAAATATTCGGAGCCGTTTCGGTCTCACAGTTCTGCGGTAACCTTTTGACCTCCAGAGAAGTGGAGGAGGCAAGGAGGCTTTTCCTGGAGAAAGTCCAGGTGCACCAGCTAATAGTTATAAAAACAGATCATGCACTCTTAAAATCGATAAGCCCACTAACTAGCATGAAGGAGAAGATTTACTGTTCCTCCCCAAGGCCGAGAGAAGAAGAAGAGGAGGAGTAGAAGGAGGGGCAACGTTGGGCTAAGGTCACCAGAGGCCAAGGAGAGACGAGAGGGGCAGACTGGACAGCCAGCAAAGCCTGCTGAAGAAGATGATGTAATCGCAAGGAGAAGAGGAAACACGTGACCAGACGTTGAGCTCCAGAAGCGGGATGGGGGTGTTGCCATGGAGATGCAACCCCTGAAGAATGCAGAGGGGAGGAGGGACAGAGTGAATATAAGGAAGATACTGGGTCTGTTCGGGATGAGCTTGATGGGATGAGTGAGAGTCACCCCCAAATTCCACTACCTCCGCTCCGCTCCGACACGAACGCCGGAGCAAAATCGGTCCCGTTGTAGTCAATCAGAGCAATTCCACTACTGCGGCTGTGCTCCGGCAGTGCGGCGCCGTGCGCCGCCCTCTGTTCCGGCGTCCGGCAAAAATAGAATCGATCCTATTTTCGCCGGACGCCGGAGCACCTCCGCAGTAAATGGACAGAAATCACAACGGCCCAACAGGAAAAGGAGCAAGCACAATTTCCGTTTTTCACAATAAATCGATAAACAAAAGGCGTTTTTTGTTTCATATGCACAGGTTTAACAACTTTTAACAACTATCAATGGCGGCTGAAGTTTAAATGCACAAAAGTAAGCCATAAATACAGTTTCTACTCTCAAAGGAGTCACACTTTGTTGATGCCAACACTGCTGATCTCTCAACACAAATGATGGGCAGATTAAACAGTTCATTTCGATGCTTCTCCCACACAACGGGTGTTTGGATCTAACTTCCGCGTTTATTGCTCGGACTGTATCGCAAGATCTCGAAAATCCCGCGCATGCTTGTTTGTCCCCCTCAGGTCTCCGCACCGGAGCGGAGCCGTTGTAGAGCGGGTACCAGTAAAGGGTACCAGTAAAAATTGAGTTCGGAAGCGAGCGGGGGCGGACCGGAGCGGAGGTAGTGGAATTTGGGGGTCAGTCAGTCATGGACTGAGGTTTTTCGAGAGGAGCTCGCGGAGTGGAATTTGGGGAAGAGAGTTTTTGATTTTGTCTGTGTGACCCGCTGCAACGGGATTTTCATCTTTTTATCTGTTTGTGGAATAAAATTTGTTTCTCAATGCGAGGAACTTAAAAAGAATCCACGTTCTGGGGGTCTCCTCTGTCGGTAATCTAGGAGAAAGGTGAGGCGCTGGTTACCGGCATCCCATTCCAAAGGTTGAATGCTATTTAGCTTGTTAAAACCATCCTTTTGCTACAGTTAACCAGTTGTTTCCTCAGCATAAAGGAACAGCTGATTAGAGTTTTGACCCGAGCTGAAGGAATGTAAAGTGTGTATGCTGGTGTAATCAAAGTCTTCCTTGTGTCTATTTAAAGATATATTGGTCAGAATTAGAAGCCCTGGGTAATTTGGTGACTGCTAATCATCTCTCTACATAGGAAAGGGTGTTTATTGGCAATTAATGTCAAGCCCACTACACTGATTGCAGGCCAAACCTGAGATTTTAAAAACATCTAATTAAGAGTGGTGCTAATCCGGCTAATTGTCTCGCAACATAAAGGTAGCAGGTCATGGTGCGTACTTGCGTCTTTTGACAGCTCCCACTAATAAATGTGCCTGAGACAGGTGGCTGGTCTTTTGCTCCCCTGAAGGTTTGGATGAAGACTTCTCCGGCTCCCGTCGGCTCTCTGCTGACGCCTTCTTCACTAAAGCGCTGTGGCAGCAAAAAGTTAAAGAGTAAGTCACACCGGCGGGGTCGATGCTTATGCTAATGATCTCATCTGCAGGTCTAAGTGATGAGAAATAATAAACGAGTTTTTGAAGGATATTCTGTATTCCAGCAGCTCCTGCTTCTCCTCGTCCCGCCGTTGCTTCTCCACCATGATCTGTTGCCGGGAAACTTCATCCAGGAAGCTGGACTCATCCTCGTCCAACCCCCTCACCATGTTCTCTGTTACCATGGAAACACATTCTCGTCACAAAAACATCGTGGAATACTTTAAGTATTGACCAGCGGCCTCATTTATCAAGCTAGCTTACGCACAAAACGGGGTCGGAAAACTGCGTAAGCAACTTTCCAGGCAAACTTTGGGATTTATGAAAGAAAACTCAGCGGAAAAATGTGTGCAACTTTAAGTTGACTAACGACCTGGCTTACGCACATTTTGGACATGGAGAGCACCTGCAGTGCTGCTGCTGAGAAGGATAAAATTATGAAATCCTGCAGCGTTATCACTTGTACTGCTCCGTTTTCACACAGAACAAGACCCCCCCCACACACACACACACACACACAGCCTGAAGCGCAGAATATCAGCATGGGGGGCAGATTGAGACAGAATGTCATGCGTCTGTGACAGTGTGTGTGTCCTGTCACTGTGACCCGATTGATGATGCGCCCTGGCTTCTTGTACAGAGGAGATCTCTGTTTGGCTGACTGGTTATCACGCGTGACTTTCACCTGGGAGTCTGGGGATCGAATCCCGATTGGACCATTTTTTTTAATATCCGTCACAGATCTCTCTGAAGAATTCACAGCATTGACGGCTTCAGCAACGCTGTGCCACTCCGTGGATTTTCTCTTATTTGTTTTGCAAAAGCACTTCCTTTCTCGAAATGCTGCAACAAGCCGGCTTATTTACATGCATGAGATCCAAAAGGCGCTTTGCATGGATTATTTCTGGCAGTAAGTGGGCGTGGTGAGGGTGGGATGCGACTAAAATGCAGCTGAGAAACATTCTCGTTAGTTTCTGATTCATGAAGCGGAGAATGCGTGCAGCTGTGCGTACTCCATGCTTGATAGATCACAAATCTACTTCGCGTAAGTACTTTTTTTTTGCTGAGCTTAAGTACGGTTTTAGTAAGGATTCTATGCAATGTTTGATAAATGAGACCCCAGAACATTTATTTGTCTTTCCCTCCAAAGTCCAGAGCAGAAAAAAAATCCTTTATAAAAAGAAATTTTTTATATTTAATCTTTGGGTTTCTGTAGTTTTAGCTCTCTAAATTAGGTTTCTCTTCCATTTTGTCTGCAGCTTAAAATATTTTCAGATGAAGTCAAATAAGGTTTTTAAGCAGACTCTTAATGTGGAAGCCTGCTGATGACACCGTGGGACTAAAACAGATTAAGAGACCCACTGAATTTAAACTGCTCCTCAAAGTCCTGCTGCTTCTTGTCCTTCTGCTCCTGCAGTCGTTCAAAGAGCGAACGTGGGTCGTACTCCTCCTCCGGGACCTCTGAAGAGTAGATAAACATGTAGAGATCAGAGAAGCAGCTCATGTACTGCCAGTGTGGTTTGGATCAGAGTTCCTACCCTCTGGATCATCCGGCTTCCGGACTTTCTCCCATTCCTCCTGCCTCTTCTTTCTCCTCTCATCGAGCTCTGACTCCGATACAAACTTCCTGCTGAGATCAACGCCTGCTGCTTCTCCTCCTGCCATCAGAGCAACCTCAAACACAACAAACATGTTTATTAATTGTTTCTGTCCCCAGATTTACTCTAAGTCAAATATAATGAAAATATTTCTATTTACTCCACTGTCGCTGCATAACAGATGCTGCTTATACTGAACCAGGTTCTGCAGGAGGTTTCGCCCTGTTAAAGGGGAGTTTTCCTCTACACTGTCGCTGCATGTCACTGTCAGTGCCTTGGGCTTCCTGACAGGGTTGTGGAAGGCGCTTTATAAATAAAGCTTTGATTGATTGATTGATTGCATGCTTGCTTAGCATGACAATTGCTGTAAAGTCTGACATCAAGTCGTGACTCGATGCAACCTACTGAGTTTCCTCACATAGGAAACTTTTAACTATTTGGCATAACGAACTAAACTCAGTGCACTGATAACTAGTTTTATTTAGAATGTTTACTTTGCATATTGCCTTGAGATGTCTTGTCGTAAACTGGCAATTTATAAATAAACTACTGAATTGAATACGATTAAAATTAATAAATATATCTATGAAACCAATTCTAGAGAAATCAGGCAAATAAATGGACAGATTTCACATTAATGCTCTCGGAAAACTATAAATGGCAAAAAAAATTAACTTCTATCTCGAGTTCTGTCATGTTTAAGCATTAATGACCACAAACAGGATATTTTAAAGGGAAATTCTTTGGAGTGCATCTATTTTAGGTTTAGTCTAGTTTATGAAGTTAAACACTAACGTGTTTGGGTTCATGATAGGACCTCTAAAATATACAGGACGGTGGCCCCGGAGGACCAAGATTGGAAAAGACAACTAGGATACACAACGTTCGTTCAACTTTTCCAAATAATAACAGACTTAATAAGATATTGAAAATTTTATTGCTCAAGTTTCCTGCATAAATAGCCAGACCGATAACGAGTAGACGCAAATATGTGTCTTAATAACCTAAACAAGGTGCATCAGAGGACTGGACGAAGCACAGCTGCTCAGGCGAGGCTGAAGCTGCCAGAAGCTCTCAGTTCGTATCTGTTTGTGCGACAGTCTGAGTTATTAACGCGGACAAGCAGCAGCTAGCTACGAGCTAGCACTAGCTACAATAGCCACATTAGCTTTGCACCACCGCTGCGGGTCAACCCGGTTTGACGTCTGAGTGCAGAACAGAACCGGATTTGATGTCGCTGTTTCAAATCAAACCTGAATTTTTTGCCCGTCACAGAAGCTTACCGGACTCCAAGCTGGCAGCTAGCAATCAGCTCCAAATGTATCCTGTTTGTGTTACAGTGAAAACGGCTCGGTAATAAGAGAGTCAAGGTGTTATTAGTTCCTACCTACTTACGTTCGAATCCAGAAATAATTTTATGATTCAAAAGAGAAATAAATCAAGACGCAAAGTTTTCTAAAGGAGTTAGAGACAAAAATGACACAATTAAAATAGGTTTAAAAAATCAATCATCTGATTAAAATCAAACCAATCTAAAAAAAATCCAGTCTATAACTGATTTTCTCCTATTTTTATTTTAGTATTAAAAAATTAACACGATAAAACAAGTTTAATAATGCCTTCGTGTTTTCTGTTATCAGCATGAGGACTGAAAAGCTTCGCGCGTCTGTTTTGTTCATTGGATAATTTGTTTGGTTAAATGTTGTAAAACAGAAAAGCTACTCAGCTCATCTTTACTTGACCTAATATGTTTCAGTCATTTGGTTTATGAAAGGATCCACATAGTTGACGGTTAGTTATAGGATGAGAATCCCTTGTTGTTGTCCTGCTGTGACATTTGACCTGCAGACTGACTCCTGTAGCAGAGACTATAGTTCTATGTCTAAGCAGTGACCTCAGGTTGGTGAACCTTTAAAAACAAACACAAACAAGGAGTCTCTAAAGTGCAAAAGTTACATTTTATTTTGCTTCAAGGAAGCTGAAACTTTTAAGTCCCACTGGGACTGGGATTTTCCACAACAAAAACACCAAAGTCTCATCATCAGATGAAAAGAATAAATGTTCAAGCATTTCACATGCAAACAAACCAAGTAAATATTAAAATTAATATTCTCTGATTAAGAAACAACAACACTATACAATAGCTTTTTAATGATGACATGTCATCAGTATAAATCAGGTATTAGATACCGGTTTACCTTAGCTGCCCAAGGCAGAGCTTTAACTGTGATAAAGAACAAACACGGCCCATGAAGACCTACCCACAACAGATAAATAAATAAAACAATAAATAAATCTATAAAACAGGCTGCTGATGGCGCAGGATTACAGTCCAGATCAAAATCCAGCTGTGGCACTTTACTGTAGCCCCCCCCACACACCCCCCCACCCCCAAATCCAGATGTGGTGCAGTCATCCTGGAGGTCAGCTGGGGTCAACCTAAGAGGTGCGTTTGGGCCTGACGCAGGTGCACCCTACAGGTATGTCCATTTTAAAAGCTCTCAGCTGGTAGGTGCCATCTTCACAGTTTCCTCGTTCACGCTTCAGAAACATCTGGGCCTGGAGGACAGGGACGGAGTTGAAGTCAAAGTTCTCCTCCATACTTTCATCCGAGTTCTTCTTGATGGTGATGCACCCTGAGCAGAGGCATTCTGCCTTCATGTAGGTGGAGGGGAACAAATCCTCGTTGGTTTCTTGTCTGAAAAAGAAATCAGAACAGTCAGTGAGACTCAGACAGACAAAAACATCATTTAACTCTGGGTTTAATATCAAATTTATACTTTTAATACACTAACTTCAGCTCCTCTATGGCTTCTGCAGATAATAAAATGCAAGTTTTGAATGGAAAACGTTTCAATGTTTTCCATTTTGTAAAAAGCAAACAGCTTAATGTAAATTATTATTTCATATGATTTCATCTGAACTAATGGTAATAATTTACTGATCTAATCGGTTTTTCATCGTTCATGAGGGACAACGGCTCATTATCGTTTACCGAAACACCATTGATGAGGATTTTTCTGTAACGTTTGTGCCTAAAACACCTGAACGAGGCTGATTTTATATTCAGCTGCTGGTTCACGAGGACTCCAGGAATCGGGATTTTCCAAATGGACGTGATTCCAGGTAGTCCGGAATAGTTTCAGCTCACCTGCGGCTCAGAGTCACGCAGGTGTTTTATTTGTTTTATTGGGCTGAAGGAAAATCAACTCTAAATCTGGTTTATTCAGTCATTAGAATTAAGGTGAAACTGATTTTGAACTAAAAACGACCAATGTGGATCACGTGTCCAGAAAGCGCGACAGGTGCGACTTACACGTATCTCCAGGGGGACAGGGACCGGTCCTTGATGTCCTTGGAGTTGGACAGACCCTGGTAGAGGTCCACTGGACACGACCTGATGCCGGATAACTCGGATAAAGGCTCCGGGTTAAACGGGAGCTGTTTCTGCATCCTCCGGAGCAGCTCGGTCTGGTTACAGCACCGGTGTCTGCATGTCCACACGGACACGACACACAGCGCGAGGACAAGGATCTGTGGAGAGAAGAGGATGAGGATGATGATGATTGAGATGATGTTGGAGGCTGGGGGCCTGGTGCGGTCCGTCTCTCACCTGTTTCAGGTCCATTTGGGTCTCCCAGGTTTGTCCAGAGTCTAAAAGTCTCAACAAGAGGACTCGTCTTTGATCCACAACGCGAGTCACTCATCTTTTATGTGCCGAGAGCTGGGGAAGTACGAGGAAGCGCTGCTGAACTTCCTCTTTCTAGAGGAGGTACCAGGTGAGAGGAGTCTCTCTGCCCCCCCCCCCCCCCCCCCCCGTCCCGTCCAATTCAGCGTGTCCATACCAAGACCAGAACCTCAGATCAGCTTCACCTGATCAAAGATCATTAACCTCACCAGAGCATCAACCAGCAAATTAATGAAATGTTCTGGAATTTCAGCTAGTTTGAAAGGATGCAAGAATTCCTGATCCAATCCAGAACTCCTGTTCCAGTCCAGAATTCCTGATCCAGTGCAAAACTCCTGATCCACCCCCAAACCCCTGATTTTGTCCAGAATTCCTGATTCAGTCCAGAACTCCTGATCCACTCCAAAATTACCGATCCAGCCCAGAATTCATGATCCAATCCAGAACTCCTGATCCAATCCAAAACTCCTGATCCAATCCAAAACTCCTGATCCAATCCAGAACTCTTGATCCAGTCCAGAATTCCTGATCCAATCCAAAACTCCTGATCCACCCCAAAACCCCAGATTTAGTCCAGATTTCCTGATCCAATCCAGAACTCCTGATCCTCCCCAAACCCCCGATCCAGTCCTGAACTCCTGATCAAGTCCACAATTCCTGATTCAGTTCAGAACTCCTGATTCAGTCCTGTTCAATTAAAAGCTTCCAAAGTCCAATGAAAATCTGGAATTAACTCAAAAATATTTCAAGAAAATCTGCATCAGAGGGAAAATATAGAGATGATGACTGGATCAGAACCGGTTCAGAATGAAACGGCAGAGGTTCTAAACCTTGATAAGGTGGCTCGTGAAGAGGAAATGAGCATGTTGGTGATGATTCAGCAGGACGTCGTCATCACCGCAGTGAAAGTTTTGGACTAAACTCAAATCAGAGATAGAATTTAGAAATGAACTAAAATTATAATTTCCTTTTTTATTTTATTTACGTCAAATGGAAATGTGTCTGGTAAAAGAGCCCATGACTCATCAGCTGGTCTGTGCTGGGAGGGCTTGTGGATGGAAGCATGGATTTTTGTTTCAGCAGGAGGCGCTGCAAATAAGAGCTGACCCTGAAGCTGAGACTTGTAACGTAAAACGTCCTAAAAACAGATTAGTTACGTGAGAAGAACCGGGACCGGGTCAGTGCCCGGGTCGTGTAAACTGGACCTGCAGCTGGGTCAAGACCCCACAAGTCACTTTCTGCAGGGTCAGAAACCAGACCACTCTAAGAATGTTTAAAGTTCAGGTCACAGAGTCAAAAGTAATTTTAGTTAATGTTAAATCTGCAGACTCAGATTTATGATCTAAAAGAATAAATGAAACATAAAATAAATCTGTAATCCAAGAACGTAACTCTAAGGGCATGTTTGACGTTTATAAACTGGAGTTGCGGCTTTATTTACACACTCGTCTGATGATGCAACACAACAGGTTTCAAATGTCAAACACATTCCAAAACAGCTGAATTGGTTATTTTTAGCTTCAGCAGAATTTCCAGCAGTTATAGTTTGGAAACGCTGCCAAGGCTGCTGGTTGGACACGAGCGGTCGACCTCTCCGCTGAACCATTTGTGCTCCTCCGATGATTTCTCATCTCCAGGTGCGCACGGACACTCCCGCATTCATGTCTGCTTTTGCAAAATAACAACAGGAAACTGATCCTGAGTCACGGACATGATGTAAAAGCGCCGCGTGACGTCAGCGAAGGAAAACAATTAACCTGGAAGTTCCTGAACTCGTTCAGACCTCAGAGCTCCGCTGGGAAGAAGCACACAGGGAATGTTGGAGCTGGAGTTTGTTACAGAAGAACAAGGCTCGCAGGACAAAAGCCTCCATCTTTCTATTGGCTATTTTTCATTTAAAGAATGGATGTATTTAATGATAATTTAATCACTCTTTTTACTAAGAGGAAAATATTTTGCGCTCAGTTTACAGAAGTTTTTATTTTTCCTGATATTATTTTCTACTGTATCCCCCCCATCCCCCACCCCCATGATTAAAAAATAAAGGCCTCTCTCATCATTATAAGTGGGACAACTTGCACGAATGGATGCTGAATAAATACTTTTTTGCCCCTCTGCATTGTCACGAAGTAAAATGAATTATTAACTTTTTTGCTCATTAAAAAATGATTAGATTCAAAATAAAGTTTTAAAAAGTAAAATAAATGCTGCAAAATGCAATAAATACATTTCTAAATAGCTAAAGTTCAAAGAAGGAAACTAAATCCAATCAAAAGCAAAATCTGCAAAACAAACAAAAGCTTCAAATAACACGAGGTACCAAACAACTTCTGCTTTTGAATTTCCAAACGTGTTCCACTGGTCTGCAGAGGAAAACACCACAACAAGGCATCAGCTGCCCAGGAAAGCCAAACAACACATAACATTTGAATAAATAAACTGAAAGTACAAATAGATTTAAAAAAATAATCATTTAAAAATCTGTCTTGAAATATAAAAAATATATCAAACTCACTGGAAGAAAAACATCAGGACAAATAAAAAAGGCGAAAAAATCTCTAAGTTAATTTTTATTTAATTTTCCACACCGATTAAAACTCAGAGAAGAAGAGGAGGAAAGTTCCCGTTGATTCCTGCTGTTCCTCAAATTATTTCTCCTCTCAGCTTTCACTTTTCCAAATCAACATTCCTTTAGCCAAACATAAGCTGATTAAATAAATTACTTCTCATGTAAAAACTTCAGCATTCCCAGTTATTCATTAGCCAGCTGCAGGTTACGTCAGGGAATAGTCCAAGCCGAGAGCTGAGTTTACCCTCAGCCTGTCCGTTTAGTTCTTCTTACATCTGAAAATGCACCTCTGACACCAGAACTCGCCCCTTCTGTTTTTGATGTGGATCAGAACCATTGCAGGTTGGTGCAGAAGGTAGAGCAGACCACCAGATTTCACACTGGGTACTTGCAGTTTGCTGGATCACAAGGTCGTGTCTCTGACATGCTGGTCTGCAGTTCGAGGGCCTCACAGTATAGGTTCCCCTTTTCACCCTCCATCAACTCCCCTGGCTGCCTTCTTCAGTCTCGACATGCTCCCCCTGGGTCAGGTCATCCACAATAACATTACCTATCATCGATATGCAGATGACACGCAGGTCTACCTCTATCACCTAGTGACTGTGGTCTCTTAGACTCTGCCAGTGTTTGGAGCAAGTTAATGACTGGATGCAGTTAAACGTCCTCCAGTTACACAAAGACAAGACGTGTCTTTGAAAATAAGGATAGGATGGCTTCTCTCCAACCACCAAAACGTCACATCCCAGAGAACTAGACTAATACAGATCAGTCGTCTTGACCTCCCATCTGATGAAGACTATGGAGAGACTCATCCTCACCTATCTACGTTCAGTGGTGAGCCCGGAAGTAGACCCACTGCAATTTGCATATAAACCAAATATGGGGGTGGAGGATGCCCTCATCTACTTGCAGCACTGGGCTCTCACCTCAAAATTCAGAAAAGCACTGTGAGGATCATGCTCTTCGACTTCTCAAGTGCCTTAAACATCATCCAGCCGTGTCTACTGCAGCAGAAGATGAGGGGTGCAGCAGTGGACAACATCTGCCTGCACGGACCATCAACTACTGTACCTCACCAACAGGCCACCATTTGTGAGGCTGCACAACTGTACATCTGAGGTGGTTGTGTGCAGTACGGGAGCTCCACAGGGTACGGTGTTCTCAGCATTTTTATTCATCTTCTTCACCTCGGATTTAACCTACATCACCAGCAGCTGTCACTTCTAGAAGTACTCTGATGACTCTGCTGTTGTTGGCTCTGTATCTGAGGGGAATGACCTGGAGTTAGTACAGGTCAGTCAACATGGACTTTGTGGACTGGTGTGAGCGTAACCACCTTTGCTCCAACACCAGTAAGACGAAGGAAATGGTGACTAACTTCCAGATAAACACTCCCCCTTACTCATCGGTCAACATCAGACATTGAGCTCGTGGATACCTTACCTGGGTGTTCACCTCAACAGTAAACTGAACTGGTCCAACAGCACAGATGCTCTGTACAAGAAGGGCTAAAGACGCCTCCACCTCCTGAGGAGGCTGAGGTCCTTCAGAGTTCACTCCCAGCTGCTAAAATCCTTTTATCACTCTGTGGATGGCCCTGTTATCCACTCTGCCGTGGTCTGTTGGGGTGCAGGCAGCTCTGACTGAGACAGGAAGAGACTAAACAAGCTAGTTAAGGCTGGCTTGGTTCTGGGTTGCCCACTGGATTCAGTTTAGGAGACATGAAATTATGCTTGTGAAGGTGAACTCCATCTTTAAAAAAAAACCCTCCCACCCACTGCGCTCCACTGTGGAGACCACGGACAGCTCCTTCAGGGGCAGACTGAGGCATCCCAGATGTAAAACAGAACGCTACCGTAGGTCAGTCATCCCCTCTGTAGTAAGAGTATAACTCCTCAGTTTAACTGGTACTGGCATTATCCTGGTACACAATAGCCTCAACGCAATACTCAGTATGTGTTCAATACTTGTGCAAGACCAGATTTACATAGTATCTGTGTCTCTTACAGTCTGCTGCGTAGTTGTGGAAGTTTTTTATTCGTGGATTTTAGGGTTTGAAGGTTACAATAATAGCTTACTGGCTATGTGTACATACATGTACCTTTTTTATTTTTTTCCTTCAAATTATTCTCTTAAGCGTTGATTCAGCTCTAACAGGTGAATTTTCCCACTGTGGGATCGATAGTCTTTTCTATTCTACCTTTACCCAGGTGCTGTACGTGTGCAGCAGCACGACTCCAGTTGTTAAACGGACCCACCTGCATTCCAGAACCGCAGTTCTCTAAAAACATTAGCAGCCCGATGAAAGGACAGAGATAGTCGTCAAACTCCTAAATGTTTAGACAAGTGAAAACACAAACCCAAACCCATCGCCATGGTGACCAAGCAGAGGCACAGCTTGTCATCAGTTGTGCGATGGGAATGTCTTCTTTTGTGTGTCTCAGGGAATGTCAACTTTCCACGAGTCCGTCTGAAAGGACTTAATGTTTCATAAAATCTTTAGGCATTGTGGCTCAGCCCTAGGTTTTCTGGAGGACAAAGTTCTGTCAACTAGGACTTGTTCTTTATGGGTCTCGTTGAGTCCAGGGAGCAGGATGACCAGAACCTGAAGCAGGAAGAGACGGGGACTTCACAGACCTGGAGTCCGGTCTTCAGCTGGGACTCTGCAGTCCTGATATGGGTCTGAAACAGCAGTTCAGCTGGTGGAGTTAGAATTTGGACTAGTTCGGACCGGTCTGGACTTCTGATAAGTTCCTTCTTTAAAGAGCAAGTCAATCCCTACCAGATTCTTACTCAACTCCCACTTCCTGTTTGAAAATTCAACAAATGCTGTTGCCGAGCAGACCGAGAGGGCGGAGCCGCTAACAAATACACACACACACACACACACACACACACACACACACACACACACAACGACATTGTGACATCATATGGTACCAGCTAACGTTCTAGGGTACCTTTTAGCCAATAGCGATGGCAGATTTAAATTCAAATGCAGTGCAGAGTTTTTACCTGACAACAGCACAACACCGACAGTTTTCGGCAAAAATTTTAAATTTTAACTAAAATGCACTAAAGTGCAAAACTATTGACTACACGTGTCTGCAGCACGATTAGACACGCATTTATATAGTTTATATAAAAAAAAGTTGATTTGGGGTGACTTACTCTTTAACAAAGAACAAAACATGATGGCTGAGACTTGGTGCTTATGAGTCTTGATTTAGGACTTGTTTGGTCTTGACCAGAGACTCACTGAAGACCATGACCAACACTGGACCTGCTGGTCTTGATCGAGTTTGAACTGGTTTGAAGTCAGCATCAGCTTCTCTTCAGAGACTAACTAGACTTCAAACCAGCAAGTCTTGGCTTGGGACCTGTTTGTCTCAAGACTTCAACGTCAACCAGTGAAAGCAGCAAAGTTCAGTTTGACCAAGTACAACTTCATCAAACCACAAATTTACATTAACTGACGTCATGTTGTTCATGACTCAGAGCTCTTTTTTTGTTTTGCTGTAACATGTTTCTCCACAGGTATGAAACACCTCAGATCTCACCTGGTGGGAATGATGTAACGCTGGACTACCTCAGGTGTTCAAAGTGGGACGGTCCTCGTCAACATCGAAATTTATCCGATGATGTAAGGCAGCCTGTTTACATCCTCAGATTATGGAAATCTAGAGGCACACCTTATGAACTCTGTTTGCTTTAAGATGGAAAAACATAACAATCGGGATTTATTTCAGATGGATTCTGAACCAAATCTTATTTTTCTAGAAATAAAACTCCTTAAAAGATCAACTGAAAGCCCTGAAAATGTAAAGTTTTAATCCTTGAGTTTGACCATTTAAAAACCAAAACCCTTACTTCTGGTTCAGACTGCAGATCCAGTCACCTGACCTCTAAAGTGTTTTAACCCTCAGGCTTCACTTTAAATTTCATCCTAAAGAGTCATTAGATGACAAAAACATCTGCTTGTAAAAGTGACCATAAAAACTGTTTACATTAATATATTTTTTTACTTTTTTTTCCCCAAAGATCTGTTGAACAACTTCAGCCCTGCTCAAACATAAAAAAAATTCAATCATTTTGAGGCTTTTAACCCTTGAAATGCCAGTTTGAATACTCGAAGTCATTGATGTAATTTATGAAAAAAAACCCACAAAAACTGAGTTATTTTCTGGGGTGTTTAGTACAAATCATCAGTCTTGATTATGTTATGAAACATCTAAAATTTTGAATTTTTTTGCATTTATAGTTTTTACATAGCAACAGATTTAAAATTTACTATACACTTTGTCTCACCTCAGAATGCAAGCAAGCATTCACACTTCTGCACATGCATAAACAAACTGAACTACAGAGAGTTTGGATGTACCTGGGCTCCAGCCAGGTGCATCAACATATTGTTTTTGTTTTCTACCCTTTGGTCTTACATGTGAGAATGAAACTGTGTTTAGTTTACATGCTGAGCTTCTGAGTTCAATAAAAACAGCAGAAGATCTGAAGAAATGTGTAAACTTTCTCGCCTGAGCAACATATGGAGAAATGACTGAATTTGGGGGTGAACAGTAAAAATCATAAATTTGACTACTTTTGTCCAAAATGAAACCATAACATCACAGAAAGCATGAGTATTTGATGCAGATGATACAGGATCAGAAACTGTGGTTTGCATTGAAGTCAATGGGACATTTTTGTCCATAACAGGCACAAGAAGGTGGTAAATTTTAAATCTGCTGCTACAAAAAACTAAAAAAAAGCATAAAATATGATATTTTGCCAGACTCTTGACATATCCAAGGCTGATTTAAAAAATGATTTCAGTCACTCAAAATATGTTTTATGTAAAATATCTCCTCTTTTGTCTGCTTTTTTCATGAAAAAATGAGCATCACATAATCAAACTGGCATATAAAGGGTTAAAATTTAGATAAATATTCAATATTTGATTTTTTTGATCAGAACTGAAGTTGATCACAACATTTAGACCCAAAAAGCAGAAAAAAATATTAATCTGGACCATTTTTAAAGCAGTTTTAAAAGTGGATGTTTTTGTCCTCTAATGGCTCGAGTGTATAGTAAATTTAAAATCTGTTGCTATGTAAAAACTATAAATGCAAAAAATTCAAAATTTTACATATTTCATGACATAATTAAGACTGATTTGTACTAAACACCCCAGACAAAAACAATGTCTTTTTTTTAAATAACTCAGTTTTATGTTTTTTTTTTCATAAATTACAGCAATGACTTTGAGTATTCAAACTGGCATTTCAAGGGTTAAAAGCCTAAAAATGATAGAATTTTTTTAATGTTTGCTCAGGGCTGAAGTTGTTAAACAGATCTATGAAAAAAAATATTAATGTATACATTTTTATGGCCACTTTTACAAACGGACGTTTTTGCCCTCTAAAAACTCAAGTGCATAGTGTTACTTTTTCCGTAGTGTTCCCTTAGTCCATTTTAAAAATTCCAAATTGAATTAAAAAATTTGTTCAGAGGTTTTGCGAAAAAATTTAGTACCATATGCACAAACGGTGGTGAAATGGCGTCAAAAAGAAAAACAAAAAACTGCCCAAAATGACTAAAATGTCCCTAATGAAGCCTGAGGGTTAAAATTTTTTAAAGTCTTTTGACGAGTAACTTTAAAGATAAAAGGACTACAAACATATTTTACACCAAAACCTGATATGTAGCAACAGATTCACGATGCTAAGATCCTATCCATTAGCTTCTCCAAACATTTACGTCACCTTTTTGACATTTGACTCATAACCCGGCATCATCGTTTCCTGAACCAGTTCTTTTAATTTCCTTTTTGTGGCAGCAGAGTGGATTTTTCACCTGGAAGCAGATCCGTGCTGCAGTTTCATCCCAGAAGTCTTGTCTTGTTTTTTTGGGGAAAAATAAATAAATAAAATCTCAAGAGCTGAAACTAAAAAACAAGTAAAGGGAATTTTATTCATTAGAATTTAGTTTTAGACTTTTTATAAAATCTCTAATTTTTAGATTTCCTGATAGTTTAAGAACTCTGTAGGTAAATTTGTTTAAGATCAACACAAAAACAAATACCTGGGTCATGTAGAGTTATTCAATCAGGCTTTAGGGAAATAAATAAAACTCCCGCTTCAGGTGAAGGCTGAGTTTTGGAGGAAACTCGGGAAGAATGAAAACATTTTTCACGGGTACATTTGTGAGATGCTGGAAAACCTCAAGAACCAAAACCCAAAAATATCGTCCTGTTGGATTTTTGAAAACTGGAAGAAAAGAGGAAGACCACTTTATGACCACAGCATACAAGACCGAGGAAGATATGTTTTGGGTTTTAAGTCCCATCAACTCTTCACGCACTCGTGAAATTCATCTCTGCACCTGACTTATCCCCGCGAGGAGCTGCAGCAGCGGCTGCGCTCGGGAACTATTTGGTGGTTTTACCCCCCCAATCCAACCCTTTAAAGCCGAGTGTCAAGCAGGGAGGCGTTGGGTCCTGATAATAGAGTCTATGGTACGACCAGACCGGGATTTGAACTCTGATTTCCCAGTCCCATGACGAACACTCTACCACTAGGCCACTGTGAAGGTTGTAACGCCAAAGACCGACTCAACAAATGTTTGGTTATTTTTGAATATTTCTCTCATTTAGCAGTGAAAATGTTTTTACTCTGACTGAATGACAAATATGAGGGGCTAGTCTAGGGCTCTTTATGAAAAAACTCAATTTCATTAAAAATAAAAAAGGGACAAATATAGAGCTGATACCCATTATTTATTAATGTGGAACAGAATTATTTACACTTTACCTGACAGGAAAATACTTGGTAAAAATCAATTTTGTTCTGTTAAATTCTAAGAGCACAGAGAAAACTGTAATAATAATGTAATAACTATAACCCTCAGAGCGTGTCATCTTAGTGTGGAGGTTAAAGGCCTGATGCGTGAAACATCTGTTGGTGGAAGATGTGACGCGGAAGCAGAGGGAAGGCCAGGTGAACCTGAACGGACCTGAAATTGCATCACGCAGACGAAATGTGGAACGTGCTGAGAACAAAGAGCCACACGAATGAGCGGGTCACAAAGGAAATGAGTCTGACAGAAGAAACCAGGCGAGGGGGCTGCTCTTTATTAAAATAGTTTATTTAGAAGGCTCCTGTCACAAAAGCAAGACGAGGCTCGTCTCTAAGCGTCCCGGTTCCGCCACTCAGCTCCAACTAAAAGTGTGACACAAATAAAACACTGTTTTATCACCAAAGAGCTAAAAAGAAAACCAAACGTAGAAGATAAAAAAGCTTCCATATTACTGTTTTCCGTAATGGAACACGGGACTAATCTGCCGTTTCTGTACAACGTGTGTGTAGGGCCCGGAAACACCCAACTCAGCAGAACTGGGTTCACTGGGCGGCCTGGCGGGGATGAACTGGTGGACTTATACAAAGTTGTGGTGAAGCCCTGCAGAGCTGGGCCAACAGTCACATCACTCCACACAGGAAACCAAAAACAGACAAGACAGACAGAAGAGTCGAGGAGTAGAAATCTGTAATTCGTCTCATCATGTGAGGAAAACGCTTCCAGCCGATGTCCGGTGCAGCTTCGTTCTGTGGCTTCACGCCTAAGCCATCTTGTTACCTGCTGCAGCTCAGACACAGGAAGGCTTCAGAGGAACCAAAGTCACTGATTTCCATCCTGTTTCTGTTTGTTGACACAGGGTGGTTCTGGTGGCGGCTGCTGGAGGTCTGGATGAAACACAAACAAGAACTCCGTCCCCCGACCCCAGGCCGCCGGAAGGCGATGCCGTGCAAACGAGCAGCCGAGTCTGCGATTTATTTGGTGGGAATCTTTGCTCGTTTCCGGGCGATGGCATCCTCCACGGCCTTCAGCTGCTTCAGCAGCTCCTCTCGGCGAGACAGCGTGTTGCTGGCTTTAGCGGACCCAGAGGCAGAGCTGGTAGCCGGCGCCGGGGGCAGAGCGGCCGGCTTGTTCGAGGGCATCGCCGGGCCTTTCCCAGAGGATTTGGGTGGTGGAGAGAGAGGACGTTTCCTAAGAACAAGAGGTCAGAGGTTAAACTTCACTCACATAGCAACTACATTCGTTAGCAAGAAGTGAGTAAGACCAAATGGGAAGCAGACCGTTTCACTGCCCACTTACAGCCAATCTCATTTTTAACTCATTCACTGCCATTGACGACTAAAGTCGTCATTTGCATTTTTTTTTACTGTTTGAGCATCAGAACGAGCCCCCGCGCTGAGAGAACAAACATCTCAGCCCTGAAGCCGATCTTCATCCGCATACGTCACACGTCACATGATCAGGAAGCAGACCATCCATGTGTTTGGAGATCGTTTTGGGCCGTTCCTGTAAAAAAAGTGAGGCGCGAACCGGAAAAGCGTCTGCCGATCACAATTCGACAACGGATTATGAAAGAACGGATAACGCTCGAAACACACGGATTGTTCCTGATGTAAGAGGTGAGTCTCCGCTTTGTTTTGGTTGTTTTGGCATCAACATCATGCTAGCGCGCAACGTTCTGTGACTCTTAAAAAAACTGTAAAAACGGTGAGAAACGCTGGCAGCGAATGAGTTAATGTCACCTCATTTTTATTTCTGCTGACTCAGATTAAAACACGTCACTGCCATCCATGTCAGGCCTAATCCAGACTAGTGGGGTAAAGTTTATGCTGCAGCGTTGCTGCTGTAGGGTCATCACAAGCAGACAAAGCTGATGAGTGGCTCCCATGTCAGTCATTACATTTTCATCATTAATGAAAACGTTACATTATGAATATTTGCTGAGATTCAAATGCAAACATTTGGGGAAAAACATAAAAGCTTACACTGACTTGCTTTTAGAGCAGAGTGTAGTTAAATTTCCCACCAACGCCTTAAGCATCCAGACTTTATTTCAGCTTCTATTCCCAAATATTTATAATTAAAAAATATCATTAAAAATTTTGTTTGTTGTGAAAGTTTGGCCTTTTTTTCCTCACAAGTTCATAGTCAGATAATGATTTCGTACCGCACCTCCAGTTCAAGAAAGGTTAGCTGCCATTTCTTCGTGTTTTCACTTGTTTTATTAGAGGAAATGGTTTCCACAGTTGCATCTGTGCAGGTGCCCGCTGAAGTAAACACTAGTGAGTCACTTTTAACGAATCTCAGAAAACAAAAGAACAATACAGGCAGCGCCCGCTGTGATTTACGTCCACTGTTGTGGCTGACTGTTGCCTAGAAACCACTAAAACACGCTGGTGAACGACAACATCACCAGGATCGTTTCTTCACATGTACTCGTGTACTCGCGTCCTTGTGAACCAACATCATCGTTGGACCAAGTCCTGTTCACTCTCATGCGAGTACGCTCAGAGTTCCTGGACGTGTCCTTGCTCCGCTCACTGTATCGAGGATGCATTTGACGCATCCTTCTGTGGAATTGGCCAGCAAGGTTTCCCACAATTCATTGCATCGCAAACCTTTGTATTTGAATGAGTGAGAAAGCTCATAACAGTAGAGTTTTATATAAGAAATAAAAATAAACCTGTAAAATTTGCTGAGCGTGTGGATTTTTTCTCTACTCTCTTTATGATCTTTCAAAATGCTAATTAGCGAACCCACTATCACAATAAAAGCAGCATTGCTTTGTTTCGAATAAAAAAAATCTTTTCTACATTCAGCAGCAGGAAATGCTCTTATTGCATCACTTTCAACCAAAAGTGGACCAAATATTGTACTAATTCTAGTAATTTTAACCCTCAAAAATCAGGGTATCTGCAGGTTTAAGGGAGCCAAATTTAAGACTTTTAAGACTTTTTTAAGGCCACTTTGACCAAATTTAAGCTATAATTTCCAGCTATTGCCTGGAACCGGTGCTAACCACGTCGCAAACGTGGGATTAGCCATCCAGTTACCATTAAACTTGCACTTCCCCATGGCGCAAGCGCCCACTAGCTTAACCAGCTAATGTGCTCATCTAAAAGTAGCCCCCTTTCACAACCAACTGAATGTGTACGGTTCCGCTTACGCCAACATCGTACACAAAAAAGCTGAACACCAACTAGACATTCATGAAAATTTTATAGAAATAAAAGAATGTTGTTTATTGGGTCTTTGGTCATTTAAGACCTTTGGAAACTGTATTTAAGGATTATTTGTAATTTTTAAGGATTTTTAAGACCTTAAATTTGGAAAAGCTAATTTAAGACTTTTTAAGGACCCGCGGATAACCTGAAAATGAACTGATCCTCAAAAAGTTGGAGGCGGTGGGTTTTGGTCGGGTCACAGTCCACTTCTGATAAAAATGTTTATTGTTGTAGTCTACCTAGCTAAAACAAACAACAGCGTTTATTCGTTTCTCTACCATCAATCAACTGAAACCAGAAACCAACAGGTGCTCCTTGTGCTCACTCTAGGGACCCCATACTCCCTCCCACTTTTCTTTTCACAATAAAAAAAAAAGTATCTAAATCAGATGTATTCAAACTAAAGATTACACATTCATTGATATTTTGTTGTTTGAGGCACAAACTAGACTTTAATTTTCATGTCCGGTCGTTTTTTTAACCGTAGCAACAAGCGGACCTTGTTGCTACGACTCAGCGGAGCCAGCGGAGTTCGATACTGTTCCAAATGCTGTCCTTGTCCTCCCATACTCTGTAGAACAGACTCTCTGGTGTCCTTGTCGAGAACATACACAAGAACGTACTAGAGTCCTTATATTATATAAATGTATACGAGAAGTGGCCCAGGAGTCATGTGCACCTTTCTAACCATAAATACAAATGAACTTTATTAACACCAGCACTCGTAGACATGCGCGCACGAACCCAGGTGATGGAAAAGTCCAGAACATGAAGATTATTCGCACCGTCTGAGTCAGCAGCAGCACAAACTAACGAAGATTTGCTGTAAACTCTAACCTTACCCCAAAATTCCACTAGCTCCGCTCCGCTCCGGCACGAACTCCGCAGTAAAATCGGTCCCGTTGTAGTCAATCAGAGCTGTTCACTACTGCGACCGTGCGGCGCAGTGAGCCGCCCGCCGTTCCGCCATCCGGCAAAAATAGGATTGATTCTATTTTTGCCGGACGCCGGAGCACCTCCGCAGTCAATGGACAGAAATCACAACCGCCCAACAGGAAAGGGAGCAAGCACAACTTCCTTTATTTCACAATAAATCGATAAACAAAAGGCGTTTTTTGTTTCATATGCACAGGTTTAACAACTTTTAACAACTATCAATGGCGGCTGAACTTTAAATGCACAAAAGTAAGCCATAAATACAGTTTCCACTATCAAAGTAGTCGCCCTTTGTTGATCCAAACACTGCTGATCTCTCAACACAAATGATGGGCAGATTAAACAGTTCATTTCGATACTTCTCCCACACAACGGGTGTTTGGATCTAACTTTCGCGTTCATTGCTCGGACTGTATCGCAAGATCGCGAAAATCCCACGCATGCCTGTTTGTGCACCTCAGGTCTCCGCACCGGAGCGGAGCCGTTGTAGAGCGGGTACCAGTAAAAATTGAGTTCGGAAGCGAGAGGCTGCGGAAGGCGGGGGCGGAGCGGAGGTAGTGGAATCTTGGGGTGACTGGCTCAGTGAAAGCTGGGTTCACCACCTGAACTAGTCCTCATGGACATAACTTCTGTTTACGTTTTCTAACCAAGTAGAAACTGTCCAATCAGAGGGATGTTCCTCAAACCTCCCGTGTCAGAGTAGATAACGTCACCAGTAAAGCAAAAACAAACTGATGTGGAAGCTGCAACTGCACAAAAACAAACACAAAGCGACAACTTCCACTTCCTGTCTGAGAGGTGCTCCAATACTCCCCAGAATCACTACGTGCTTCAAGACCTGATTTGGGATTAAACTCCACGTTAATCAGTGGAACGTTTCTGTTGTAAAACACCAACACCACAAAAACCCTCTGGAAAAAAAGAGATGTGTTAATAATTAAATCTGGACGTAACTTCAACTCAACGGCACCATATTCAAACGTCGCTCAACAGGAGCGAAACTCGACTCGAGAGGCCTTGAGTGACCTAGACCGTAACTGCTTAGGAATGAGATTCAGTTTCAGTCGAGGTCACACCTTCCTGCGTCTAATCAACACAACGACTCATCAGAGGGTGGAGAGGAGGGGTAATCAGAGCAGTTTCTGCTCGTTGAACAACAACTGACAGCTACAGCTTATAAGCTTGACTTTCCCATACGAGAATCGAAACGTCTTCAAGAACTAAAGAAGTCCAGTCGCCTTCATCGGAACCCTTTTGGATTACCATTGCGTTTTCAAAACGGGACTTGCCGCGGCTCCCTGGGGAGGATAAAGGCCAATTATAAGATCAGACCGTGGCGGTAATGTGGTGCAATCGTGGCAATTTTATGAAAGATTAGGTGATGGCGGGATAAAGGGGGTATGGGGGCGGTCTCTGCGCTGCCGCAGACTTCCATTAATCTTGGACATAACTTGCTTTTTATTGAAATTGAAGCCGTGATTGTTAAATTTTTTAAACAAGCAGCTCCTAAAGGTGTCTGCCCCCATCAGTCCCTGTGCAGTCTCTGGTGATCTGAGCTTCAGCTCTAACAGAGAGGCTCGTGGAGCGCTGCGGCGCTCCAGTTTGCCATCTCAGCAGATTTTTTTCAAAAAGCAAACCTTATTGTCTGTGTTTACTTTCATTTTCAATACATTTGCCAGCCGGAGCTCAGCAATAACTCCCCACTTCATCATGACATCTGCCCCTGTTGCGCCAGGGCGCATACGACAGGCCATTACCGCAATATTACTACCAAGCGAGGAGGAACGAATGCCACAAAATTCGCGCAACACCATGCCGGCATGGCGAGTTTATAGACATATCATTGCTGTAATATGACGCCGATTAGCTGGCATGGTGTGTTTTATAAAAGCACCACATGACTGAGAACCTTCACCAGCGTTATGATTTCATGTTATCCAGCGTCGAAAAAGAAAACAAAAGCAGCTGACTGAGGCCGACGTTTCCAGTGACGAGCAACGTGGTGCCAGCTCAGACTCCCTTTTGTTTGTAATTCAGTTACCAGAGTTCCTCAAGTTCTCTCACACTTTCAGACTCCTGACGTGGAGAGAGAAGAGTTTCCGACGCGCAGGAAAATGCTAAAAATGTTCAGTGATGAGAGTCTGAGACTCAGGCAAAGAAATAAAAAAAGATCATTTTATTTTTCTGAAAACCTGTTTTATGATTTAACTTTTCTGAGTTTCTGATCATAAAAAATCCAAAAGGTCACAAAAATTTTATCCAAAATACGGCAATTTTTTTTTAACTTGAGTAGAAATTGAATTAAGCTGCTTAACAATTTGCCTGTTAAATCAAAAATGTTTTTTTAACGTCCCTCAGATACGCGTTTTATACGAGAACACTCCACCTCTGATGTGTTCACGAGGAAGAGCTAGCTGAACGCGCGGCTAGCGCTAGGTCACTTCTGTTCTTCAGTCATTGCTATCTTTTGAATAGGTTCTGGCCAATCGCACACTAATAAAACTCACTAGAAAGTTCTAGCAGGTTGTAGGCGTTGTTTTGATGTTCTGCTATAAACTTTGTGTTTAGCGTTAGACGTGTAGCTGCTGGACGCCCGCGGTGGACCTCTTTTCCTCAACAGGAGCAGCCAGAACATGTGATCAGAGAAAAAAGTTAAATATCAAGTAGAAAAACCAAAGATGTATCCGATCACATCCAGAAGTTAGTATTTAGATCCTGGCTTCGGAGCAGATCTTCGTGCCGTTTGCGTTTTGCTTTGGAGTTGAACGGTGTTATTTTAGAGCAACATGCACCAAAGGTTTCTGTTTTTATTTGAATTTAAATGATATGGATAAAGTCCTCATTTATTATATCTGGTTGTTTTCATCAGCGGCTCGTCAAACAGGAACATAGTCAGTTTAACTTCTGCTCAATTTCAGAATTGAAGACACAAAACTGTTACAAACACAAATGTAAAGTGAAAGAGTGACGATAAAATCAGATCCTTTCTGTGTTTGAATGTTTTAGGCATTGCTGTCTAATGTCTCGTTTAAGCTTGAAGAATCAGATGATTTACAAAAGGATCTATTTAATTCTGGGGCTTTTGGGAAAGGTCACTGAATTTCTGGTGATACTTTAATATCTGAGCTTCCACTTTTTGAGCATGTTCCTCTTCGTGGCTAATTTCCTGTGGTAATCAAACGCCTTGCTCTGAAAACCCTGGCATGTTAGGACGGGGTCAACGGAGGTTTATCAAGAACAAAAGATGACTCCAGAAAGTCCAGACTTCCATCTGCGTGACAAACACACAAACGTCATCCAGAAGACCACAAACCTGTCGGCCTGGGGGGGCATGGGTCGAGGGCCTTGACCTCTGGGCCGATCCATCTGAGGGTTTGGTGGGGGTCGGCCCAGAATCCTTTTATCACGACCTGGGAAAAAAAAAAAAAAAACACACCATTTGTTTCAATGGATGTGACGAAATATGTTCATTTCTTTTTCGTGACAAATGAATTTTTGTGGACAAGCAAAACAAAAACAGATACTTCTATAAAGACATAATTATGACGAATATTGATGGACATTTTTGACGACATAAAAGACGACAACAAAAATCCAATCAGAAAATGGAAAAGATAGGAGAACAGAAAAAGAACCAATCAGCAAATGTAACAGGCGGGACTAGATGAGAAAAGAACCAATCAGAGTCTGGAGCGGGCCGCTGTTTGAACAGTCTGTGCCGGTAAAATGGCCTGTATTTGATATAGCGCCTTCTAGAGTCCCGGAACCCCCCAAGGCGCTTTACAACACAACCAGTCGTTCATCCATTCACACACGGGTGAGGATGAGCTACGATGTAGCCACAGCTGCCCTGGGGCGCACTGATAGAGGCGAGGCTGCCGAGCACTGGCGTCACCGGTCCCTCTGACCACCACCACCAGCAGGCAATGTGGGTTAAGTGTCTTGCCCAAGGACACAACGACAGCGACAGACTGAGCGGGGCTCGAACCTGCAACCTTCCAATTACGGGGCGAGCACTTAACTCCTGTGCCACCGTCGCCCACACCTGTGGCACATCGTCTGTGTCGGTAACGGATGAACAGTTTATGTCTGAAAGGAGAAAATGTCCAAAAGGCTTCAGATGTGACACATGCGGGGTTCTCCTTGGACATGAAAGTGTTACGGTGGTAGCAGCGAGCGGAGGAGGAAGTCAGGAGCAGATTAATGGAGCGGCTTGTTTCATGGCTTTCACGCCGCTGCTACAGCTGATCAGTGTCCGGTGTACTGGCAGTGTTTTTGTGGGGAAAAACATTCAGACGGCCCATCTGGGTAAATTTGTGCAGGAAATACACCTGAAAACAATTCTCACCTTTAGTTTACCTCCTGGCATTATTAGAGCAACACCTTTAACTGTTTTGACGGTCTGATGTCATTTCCTGTCATGTTTTCAAATATTACTGCATATTATACAGATTTGTTTAATATTAATGAGACAAATCTCAAACTGTCAGTCATCCTTTTGGTATTTTCCATTAGTTATTGTTATTACCGTATTTTCCGGACTATAAGCCGCTACGTTTTTTCCACGCTTTGAACCACGCGGCTTATAATGAGGTGCGGCTTTACTGAAGATTTTCCTTCACCTGCCACTAGGGGCGCTTTAGCAGAAAGTGAAACGGGTGGAAGTCAAAAGTGGAAATCGAAGAAAGTGCTCATTTTAATTTAGCACATGCAAGCAGCCGGCACGACGAAGAATCTTTTTCAAATCCATACCCCCTCATCATGGTAACTACACGTATGAGTTCATATGATGCCGCATTTAAGTTGAAGGCCATCGATCTGGCAGTAAAGGAGGGAAACAGTGCTGCCGCACGTAAGCTTGGCATGAATGAATCCGTGGTTTGGCGCTGGAGACGGCAGCGGGAAGAACTCATTCAAGCCAGCTTCACCCGGGGATGATGACAGCGACACTGACATCACCACAGAAAAGGTATGTGACGAAGCTCTTCTGAGGATGTTCAACTCCGACACTGAAGAAGAGGACTTTAATGGCTTTAGTGCGCAGGAGGAAGATGAGAGCGAAAGACTTTTTCTGGTAGGCAAGTGTGTTTTATTTACTAACCAGGAATGTTTCGTGTGCAGTTTTTATTTTCTAGTCATCCAGGGCTTATTAATGCTGTGTCAGCGCTGTTCTTTCCTTCTAAACATGCAAATGACCGGTAATAACGTGTCAGTGCTGTTTTTATTTTATAACATCCAGAAATATGAATGCTGTCAGTGCTGTTTTTATTTTATAACATCCAGAAATATGAATGCTGTCAGTGCTGTTTTCTAAACTTGCAGGCACGTTCACCCGTGTTTAAAATTCGTTTTGTTGAATTAAAACAACAACGAAAAACCTCCGTGTAGCATCTTTCTGTCTAACTATCGTATGTTATGGCCGTACATGCGCTGTGTGCCGAAGACCTGCATGTGGCTGCTGCGCCACGGCTTGTATTCGAGTGCTGCGTGTGTGTGTGTGGAAAACATTTCTTTTTTTGGTTGGGGCGGCTTATATTGAGGTGCGCTCTATAGTCCGGAAATTACAGTAAAACAATTATAAAGTTTGACTGATCCAAAGTGTGAAATGTGAATTTTACAGTTTCAAGTAGGCATAGTTAACATTCCCTACAGACGCTGAAAATCATTGCATCAGAAGAAAAAAGCATTTGTTTAGTCGATTAAATTTAGTTTGGTCCTTCAGTAAAACAGATCACGAGTGAATAGCAGTTTAATTCACATGATCAGGCCCATTATATTGTGACGTTTGCAGATATTGTTGACTTCCTCATACCACCAAGGATTTTTTCACAGTGTGAAATAATAATAATAACAATTAGAGCTGGTGCTGGACAGACCAGAGGAAGGAGACGGTGAGTCGAACCACAAGCAGAAAAACCACCAAAGGGAAGACCTGACGCACGTGAAAAGTGACAAATAAAGAAAACGCCTTCTTGCTGCTTGATAATAAAAACAGTTTCGTCACCTTTTTCTTGAAAGTTACATGTTGGATCACACAAGAATAAACTACATGGAGCTTTGATGCGTTATTTCTACGTGAAAATGAAAGCAACGCTTTGTGCAGCAGCCCGTGCTTTCCCCCTGGTTTAATTCTTTTACTTTATAGCACGTCTCCTTTACATTTTACAGACAGCTCACAGGGACCGGGTGAGAACCAACAGAACTGTAAACCTGGCAGTGAAGCTTAAAAGATAGACGGCTATTTAAAATCAAAGGCTTACTCGAATAAACAGACTTCTTGCAGTTTTCTGATTGGCTGGAATAACATTTTTTCTCTTTAGCTCAAAAGGCAAACCAAGTTTTGACCCCGCACTTTTAAAAAAGAGGGGGTGCAGTTGCTGCAGTGATCGGGTGTCTAGACTCTCACCTCTGTCTGGAGACATGGCCATTCTCTTGCTGAGAGGAGGGCTGGGCCGGTCTTTATCTGCAGGCAGGTACCGCTTCCTGTTGCCTCTGTCGCCCTGTTGCTGAGAAACGAGGAGCTGGGATAAGCGCCAGCATTCACTTGTATTTCTGATGGTAAATATAAACAGAGAAGCTGAAATCCTTATGATTTTAGCACAAACAGCTAACCTGCCTTTTACCTAGTACCTCCGCTCCAGCTCACCTGTTTAAAGGTTTGAATCGCCCGTTTGGTCCAAACAAAACGATCAGAGTGGAAAACAGACGAGCCGGTGGGCCTACGCTGGAGGAACCCTTACAGCGGGTTTGGGTCACAAGGAGCGGAAGTAAACTGGTGATTGTTGAACCAAAGCCACTGCTAGAAACACCGGAGGTACTTTAACTTATGCATCGTGATATTTTACTATAAAATCTGTCGTTTACTGTAAATATGGAGCATCTAAACGTTTAAAAAGCTTTAAAAAGAAAAGTCTTGATCCATTTAAATGTGTTGAAGATGTCTTAATAAGACATAATCAAAAGATCCACAAAGTGTTGCTAATTTTGACTCTTAAAGTATTTTTGCATTCATCTGGCAGCCTGCTCACATCTGCATTTGGCTTTAAATTCTCCATGATGTCATTAGGTCTAAAAACAAATAGCCTTGTTTATCTTCTCTAGTTTGTGCATTGGTGTAGGTTTGGTGGGGACTTATAAATCTAAAGGTTATAAAAAAACGGTGGTTTACACTACAGTTAAAACAGTTTGTGCCAATAACGTTATTATGATGGACTCGTTTCTTTAGCAAACGTAACTTTAAGTGACTTACATGTTTCTTTGGAAAATAGCTCATGCCTCCATCCTCACTCGCTTTTGGCACTATGTGTCACGTCACATTGCAAACACAAGAGTCTTGATTTTGGATGTTTTCCTTCTAGCTTTGGCGCTGCTAACCGGCGTAGCTTGTCACGTGACAACATGCGCAGCCAATCACACCAGCCTTATGCGTTACGGAGGTAGGACTCGAGCAGAGAACGTCATTTAACCCTTTCTGCACCTCTAGGGTAACGAGACACTCGACATGCTTGTTTGTTTTAGCGGAGGCGGTCAAGAGATTGGTGGGGACTATTTAGTCATCACTGGATATTGGTAGGGACATCATGTCACTTCCATCCATGCCAAATCTACGCCCATGAGTTTGTGCATCAGCCTCTGGGACTGTTCCTCTCTGAAGGTTACGTCTCGTTTCAGGGGCCATTTTTCTGTCTTCAGCGCAAAAATCTGACTGAAACGTTTACAAGTACAGGGTGGCAGTCACCTTGTTGAGGAGGGTGAGTTTGATGTCTTTGTGGGAACCTGAACCTCCGTAGCTTCCAGGAGGGCCCATGTTACCGGGTCGTGGGTGTACAGGGTTGCCTCCCCTGGTACCGGGGCCTGACCGGGGCACCGGGTTCCCTCCTCTGGGCGGGCCCCCAGATGGGTCAGGTTTCCTGCGATCGTCCCTGAAAGGCTCTTCTTTCTTTGATGGTCGTTCTGAGAGCACAGAAACATTTTAGTTCAAAACCTTAAATAATAAATACATTTTCTTCATGTTCTTGTGTTTTTAAGATATTTTTAAATGAATAAAAATTATCATTTTTTCCAAATAACCTCGTAATTTTTATTTTAAGAGGTGCTATACAAAAGATTGTTTCTTCTTTTCCAGGTTTGTCAGCATCTTACGGAGGTGAATTACACACGCAGGACCAGAACATTTGTGTTTAACACATTTTTATAATTCTTTTTCTTGAACATTTTTGTTCTAGAACCTCAGTTAAACTTTTACAGCTAAGTGGAAGCTGATGCTTCAGTCTGCGCCACACTAACCCCTGATCTTGTCCCGCGCCAGCGGGGACCGGTTTCGTGCAGAAACTCGCTCTCTGCGGGGGTGATTTGGCATGGGCGAGCGAGAGCTGGCTGATGAAACAGGGCTGGCCAGGTCAGCGTACATGTCATCAGAGTCCGCACTGCGCACCGAGCTGCTGCTGGAGGACGCTGAAGATACAGATGACACGCTGCTCACGCTCAGCGACCTAAGAGGAAACAAGTTCACAGAGACATGTGACAACACACACACACACACGCACGCACGCACCAGAAGAATGTTCTCACCTGGATTTCCTGGCAGGTTTTCCATTGAGCAAGATGTGAGGGGAGAAAATTCAGAGGAATTAGAAACTCATCCTCAGATAAACTTAATTCCTACTGCAAAAACGAATAAAGCACATAAACAAATTTAAAAAAAGAAGGAAAAAACTAAAATGATCATTTTAGAATTTCAATGGAAGGTTTCTTAAAACAAACACGGAAACAACAACAACAACAACAACAACCTTTAGAAAATCCTATTTGAAAAAAATCATCAACCAATTAGGATTTTCATGGAAGAACTCTTTGATCCCCTCAGTCAACACGGTTTCTGGCTCTCAGGTGTATTTTATACAGGTAACAAACTATTCTTTCAGTTTATTACCTGTATAAAAGACACCTGTCCATAAAAGCAACCAGTCTATCCGGATATTTAAATAAACCAACTAAATCCATTTCAGGCAAATCAGTTTCAGGTAATCTGCTGTTCAGGTGAGCGTACACGTTGGGGGTGTACCTGGATTTTTTGGATCCTGAGCGCGAGCGTGAGAGGGAGTTGGATGAAGATCTGGACCTGGAGCTAGAACCGGTGTAACTACTGCCGCTTCCGCTCACTGTTCTCCTGGAAGAGACCAAACACGTTTTCACAAATTAACAAAGTCCAGGGGTGTAACAATGCTAAACCCGACCAAACGCAGGTGAATGTAGCCTGTTTATCTGCAACAGACACAAACAGGATCACTAATGTGAATCAAGCCGAGTTTCTATAGAGATGGGGGTGTGGGGATTAGGGGGTGGAGGTTGCATCGGACCAAGCTGGGCAAGCGGCCCACCGGGGGCAGTGCCAGAATGCCAGATAAGCCCGTCCACCCCTGGAGGGAATTGCCCCATTAAAACAAGGGTAGTGAACCCTGGTCCTCCTGGAGAGCCCCTATTCAGCACGTTTTAGTTGTTTCCCTTGTTCAACACAGCTGATTCACCTGTTCAGCAGCTCATCAGGCTCCGTAGACGCCTGTTAATCACCTGCTGATTAAGATCAAGCGGGTTGAAGCAGGGCAACCTCTAAAACATGCTGGATTAAAAGATTACAGTAGTACACACACGCACGCGCGCGGCAATATTTAGATTTCCACAAGTCTGACAAAAACAAACAAGAGTTGTTTGAACAGCTTGTTTCTAACAATGATCAGAAGCACAGGAGCTTCCTTAAAACACCTGGAATTTGGATTCACAAACCTTTCCCAGATCATTTTCCTAAATGACCACACGGCCATGAAACCTTCCAACATTTGAATTCCTGATGCTTGTTTCGGGGTTGGACTATGACTTGGAAAATGTCTGTTGAAGATCAGATGTTACTCAGTTTTCCCACGCCCGGTGTTCCAGTCATCAGAGAGCATCTGCTGCATCACAAACAACATTTGAATGTCTACGCTCACCTCTACACCCACCATGGTGTGATCACACATTTTCTCTTTGTTTGAACACACAAACTGATCTTTCCTGCACCTGCACACAGGTGTGTTTACACCTTTATGACACTTCCAGCTATGTTTGCAGCACATGAAACTAAAGAAAACTGTTAAGAAGCTGTACAAACACCCTGGTGCGGCTCTGTCGGGTAAACAAACATTTCTGTTAAAAATGTTAAGAAAACAGCAACAAGAATGACAAACAGTGACTAGTTTTCCAGGATAATTTCTATCTGTAAGTCAAGCCACCTCCACACACCCACAAACAAATGAATAATCTCGTCTGTTCCCCCCCACAACACACAGTTTCTTCCTCTCTGCCTGCCACACAAACACAATGAGTAGAAGCTCACAGAAGTCTGGTTCTTCCTCCTACATGCACCCACACAGGCGCCCACGCACAGTCTCACAGGTCTTCCCCCAAACTGCACAGTGGTGGAGTGCACATGCACTCACACTTTATAGTGCACATCAAATGCAAACAGCAATGTGTTTGGTCACTTCAGGTCACTTTGTTTGAAACACTTTCTCACAAATGCCCTCTTGTATAACAGGCAGCATAACGGCTAAGCAATGAAAACCAGTAAGAGCCCAAACCCTTTTGGAATAGAGATCAGACGGGAATAAATACACCAACATGTAGAAAAAATACAATTACATCAACAACTCGGGGTTGTCAAACTTGAATAAATAACTCAAGAAGCTATTTTGCAGATGTTAAAAATGGGTTGTGACACCTGTGTCATAATCACACCGCATAAACACACCGGGCCCTTAAGGGTTAAAGATGAAGTTTATATTTAATGTATAGTTAACCTTTGACCTGACTGTAGTCTATCTGGGTAACGAGAAAAAAAGAATAATGTCTGCAGCAGATTTGAGCAAAAAGCTGATAGTTATGACTCCTTCCCGTCTCTAGGAAAACTGATCCTGTTGACTCTTCAGTGGGAATGTTTCATCTTACCTGCGGGGGGGATGCTGCTGGCGTTCCTTCTGCCTGCCCTCTCGAGGGTTCACAGGTCTCCCGGGTTCCCGAGGTGGAGGAGGCCTGCCCACCCCGGGGTCCCCTGCCCCGCCTCCTGCACCACCCACCTCCCTGGGGTTGGTTGGAGGCTTTGCTCCCTCCACTGGGGGTTTGGGGGGCCGGCTGGGGGGACCGCTGGGCAGAGGGGGACTGGGAGCTTTCTTCAACGGTGGCTTGTCTCTGCGAGGAGGGGGGGCCGCTCCGGGCTTCTGCGGCATGCTGATGGAGGAAAAACGTGTTCAGGCATGCAGACATGATGCTGTGAGCACATCAACTCATAACTAGGGGTGCACCGATACGATACTGGTATCGGTGCCAATATCTATACAGATACCAGTATCGGTATAAGTTAACCAACACCAGGAACCGATACCAATGCAGTTGCTTGAAAATGGCTTCACTGTAACTTGTCATTTCTGTTCACCTAATATTTCAGTTTTGTGATGATTTCTATTCATATATTTTACTTTTTATCTACCTCACAGTCTTTTCCTGTTGAAAGCAGAGAACAAAATAAAAACTGTATTCCAAATCATTGCATTTTTTGTGTGGTGGAAGTATCGGTATTGGTAATCGGTATCGGCAATCGGTATTGGCGAGTACCCAGATCCAAGTATCGGTATCGTATCGGTTTGGGAAAAAAGTGGTATCGTTGCATCCCTATTCTTAAAAAAATGAAAGCGTTGGGAATGTTCTCATTGAAATGTTCAATTTGGATTTCATGAGTAAATCCTTCTGAGAGCATCAAGGAACAGAGAGAATCAGTTAAAGGAGCAGGAAGAGATTGTCCAAGAGGGCTAAAATAAAAAATACAACAGAATTTCATCATCACCAGTCACAGTGAGCTAAAAAAGACTCATCAAAAAAGCCATGCTGTAAAAATCTAAACCTAAACCTGGCTGACAGTAACTAAAGGAATCCAGGTGACGAGGGCTCACCCTTTGGGCGTCACTGGTGGAGGTTCTGGTTTGTTCTTGGCAGCCCTCGGTACCGCCGGACTCGGTGACGTGGAGAAGGATCGAGATCTAAAAACGATTAAAAAGAAATTATATTTAATAGGAATGTGTATTGGTGGAATTATCATCATCATACAGGGGAGATGACAATACGTCACGATATCACGATATATTGTGATACATTCAGCCAGACTATATTAGCCATATTTTAGACTGAATTTATTGTAGGAGAATTCAATAAACAGTCCAAACTGATATGCAACATGTTTAACATGAGGCATCTGCACCATAATAGAGGGTTGGGCCGGGCAATAAATCGACAATTTATCATTATCAAAATTCCTGACTCTTATCGAGATCATGTTTCCCATGTCAATAAATCTGATAATAAAAACATGAAAAGATGTGTGTATGTTGGCAATGTCCCTTTAAGAAGCTGTTCCACCTTGAGTCACCACAAATGTGACTCAATGTAATGCACGTGACAACCCCATCTAGTGGAAAACCTTTGTTTCTGCACATACCTGTAGTTATCGTCCATTTATCGTTATCGAGGTGAAATCCTCAATATATGGTGATATTGATTTTAGGCCATATCGCCCAGCCCTAATAGACGGATTTACATTTCAGTGTTGGAAAAAAACACTGCTGCCAACTAGCGGTGGGCGTTTGAATTGCACCAAAAGATAAGAAACTCCACAAATGTTTGCATGAAAATTCTTCCAAGAACTAGATATCACGATATATTACCATATCCATATTTTCTTACATCCCTAATACTTAGTATTCAGTCTAAAGTCAAAGTTGATTGTAGGAAAAAAACTGTGAATGTTGAGACAAGCTGGGATGTGTACACACGCGCGCGCGCACACACACAAACACACACACGCGCACGCACACACCTTGAGCGGCTGCCGCTGAAGGAGCTGTGCTGAGAGGAGTGGCTGGAATACGAGGAGTAGGATGAGGAGCGGCTGCGGGAACGAGATGACCCGGATCCCGTGTAGGATGAAGAGTGGGATGAAGACCTGCAACACACAACAGGAAATAGGATTTATATTCAGTTTCAGTTTATTTATACCGGGCGGCAAATCCCAACACGAGTTACCTCACGGCACTTAAAGAACTGGTCATCAAACAAGACACTTTTGTCTTCTGAACGACTACTTTGTTCAGAAAGCCTAAAAGACACAGTTGTGTTAAAAATATAAAAGTGTAAAGAAACTGATGCTCATCAATCTGAGAGGGGTCAAAGGTCAACAAACTACAGTCACTCATCCTAAAGAGAAAGACGGTGGAAATCATTTCTGATCACCCAGAGGTGAAAGGTCAGAGGAATGAGGTTAAGGTCAGGATAATAAGAAACAGACCGACACAAGACTTCTGGAGCAACAAGGCCTAAAGTGGAGATCACATTACACAGTGGTGGAGGGATGATGGTTTGTGCTCAAGAGACCCACATAGTCCACCTGGAACCAGCAGCGGGTCTACAACAGAACCAAGGGGCTACAGATGTCCAGTCAGAGTCCAGACCAGAGCCTGGATGAGGCGCTGTGGTGGGACCTTCTGAGAGCTGAAGCAACAAGGTAGAGAAGAGAGGAGGAAAGCTCCTTCAGAACCAAGCCATTGAGAGTTGGTTCTGCTGAAGGTTCTGTTGGATCATGGGATGGACCGTTTGCCTTTAGTTTAATAAATAACAACACTATAGATTCAGCTGTGTGCCTCAGAACCTTTGCCCTCAGGCAACCAACTTCCTTCTGAAAGGCGGCTTCCTGAGAGCATGGGGGGCGGGGACTCAAGCAGACCTCAATTACTCAAAAAATAAAAAATAAAATAAAATAAAAACACCGTCATAAAAATAACAGTTTGCATGCGACCATGGCGCATTCGTCAGTTTTCTTACATCATAATTAGTTGAGCTGCATGTTGACTCGTTGTTTACAAACATTTCTTCTCATTTATTTCTAAGAGTTACTTAAAGGGACTTTACGGAGTTTTGAATTTTTATGCTCGCGATTGCCCCCTCAGGCCAAAAGCATAATGGCATGCTGTACGTGCACACTCCTTAACGAAAATAACAGCTGAGACAGTCCCTTGTGTGTGTGTGTGATTGTAGGACAGAGGGCAGGAGAACGCGCAGCTAATTAATTAAATAATTTGGTTCTGTAGCTTTCTCTTCAGCACAGCCGACAAAGGTTTATGATGGGTCAGTCCTCCTGCATGCTCAGATCATTCTCTTCCCTTGCTTGAAAAATTGTTCCAAAATTAAAGTTGAACCCACATCTTTTTTTTCTGTGAATTCAATGCCGTTCGGCGAGTCTCAAATAAAAATTTAGGCATCTTAATGTAAAAAAGAAACTCTAAAACAACTATGTTCACATCCAGAATCGAACCCGGGTCTTCCGCACAAAAGCCCAAAGTTTTACTAGGCGAGCTAAACCGCCAGTGACGTCATTTGTATCTGTAACATTTATATTCTTGATGACAGCTGAAACAACGTTCACAGAACGTGAACGCGCATGAAGCAGCCTGCTCGACCCGAGCATCTCTCTTTTTCTGTGATTTTACAGAAAAACGGGCAATCACGGTAAAAATGCCAGGGCTCATTCTACAGGACCAGGGCATTGCAGGAGAATGTATGAAGACATTTATTATTTCTATACATGTTTTGGCTGTCAAACTTCCATAATGCCCCTTTAAGAGTTTATTTTTACCACTTTATGAAAATCACATGGGACATAAACCGTGGGTGGTTCCAGCCTTCGAGGCTAACACGTTAACATCTTGAAACACAAGGTGGGCATGTCACAAACTCCTCCATCCAACTCTGCTGTTCAGAAAGTCTGCAAGATTCATTTATAATAAACAGTAATCCCTATCATTAAAATGACAGGTTCATCGAGTCAAGAGTTTTTTGTTTTATTGTTGTCTTAAAACAGTTTTCCTAACTCTGGTCAGCAACAGCTGATGGGAGTAAAACTGACCCCATGTCTACATGGTCCCAGTCTGCGTCAGTAAGCTGCACAACCATGTGGAACACTGCTGACTGGACACACGTCCAGAAGACCCTCCCACAGGAACAGGAGGCCCCAAAGGGTTGCTGCATTCGAGCATGTTTGTAGAACGCTGAGTGGAAGGAGAAGCAGCTCCAGCAGCAGGGAGAGGATCGTCCAGCTAAATCCATTCAGGAATCTTTCTGTAAACATCCTCTCCTGGTTTTGTTTATCTGCTGAACATGTAGGTTTCTTCTGTGATCATTGATGTAACATTTTCATGTACCTCTGCATCTTTGCTGCAGGTCACGTGACCTCACAGCAGCTACAGTGTCAACAAGTAACAGGAAACAGCGTCTCTCACAGCAAAAACTCCCAGGGAACATTCAGTAGACTTTAACAGTTTTAATATTAACGTTTTTTTCCCATGGTTCCTTATTACGTTTAATCTATTTACCAGTGAGGTAATGTGGTGTTGCTGGTATTTTCCTTTACGCTTGTGCAAAGCAGATCTGATAACAGAAGTTTTGCTTTAGGTAAATAATTCCAAGAAAATAATCTAAACTAGGGCCGTGACTCGATAAAATTTTTTAATCTAATTATTTACAGGCCAAAGCAATAATTAATCTAAATTAATCGCATTCTTAGAGTGTTTCTGTTTTAACTTAAACTTCTGTTTTCAACTTTAAGACATGTTGCTTGTGCTTGTTTACAGAGTAGTGAGAACACGGAGCGTTCTCCCAGCGGCAGCCAGGTGTCTCGTTTGTCTGACTACTTTCATAAACTACTGTTAGGGCAAAGAATGATTCTGTCTGGAGCTTTCAGCGCTGCACAGATGTTACGTAAATGTTAAAAGTATAGCTTACTGCAACTTTTATAAACTTTCCGGTGCCACCGGGCAGCTGCAGCAGAGACGATCTCTGAAAAATGTCTGCGACACGGACTCCGTTGTTGTCTGGAAGTTTTTTTCCAAGTTGAGAAAAGAGGAGGACGGGTTTCCTAAATCCTGTATCAGTCAAAGCAAGGCAACTTCTTTCTGTTTTTATTCCGTTTTAGTAGCCATTAGCACTGTGCATTGTTGTGTGCGTCAGTGATAATCGGTCTACGAGGAAATCGTGCAATAACAAAGGTTCCGCCTTTCTCGAAATGCAAGTTGTGATTAAATGCCTTAATTTTTTTAACGCGTCATTTTTTTTCTATAATTAACGAGCTAAAGCCCTAATCTAAACACAATCTGTACGTAGGTGTGCTGCATACTGTTGATAGGAAAGCATCTTTTCAGGATCTAATAAAGTTCATTCCACTCCTCATAATAAACCTAAACACAAATAAACTTGTATTTCACTGAAATAAAACTACTGTACTCTGTTTCACTGCCACAGAACTCTTAGTGGAACTAAAGGTTATATCTCTTCTCTGAATCTTTTTTTGGTTTGACATTAAACACACTTTATTAGAAATGCATCCTTTACAGGAACATCAACAATGAGTATCCTGACATTTAAATTTGAACTAAAATAAACTTTGTCTTCAGCAATGAGAGAACAACCAACCTGAATATTGTTGTCTTCAGTTGACACAAAGTCTAAACGGGTGTTATCGGCCCTGGACGGGAGGTGTCACACCAGAGCTGAGGTTTACTAAAAACCCCTGAAGTAATCCAAAGGGGTTCGAATGGAAGTGAAATTTTCAATCCAACCCCTTTGGATTACCAAAACCTGGATGACTGTGAGCCTTCACCAGCATAACTCATGAAGTGGTAATAATAATAATAATAATAATAATAATAATAATAATAATAATAATAAAAATCCTGGTAATCCAGCTAACATGCTGCAGACAAGACTGGTCTTACCTGGAGGAGTTGGACAAAGACACAGAGGAACCAGAGGGCCGGTGTCGCCGGCGACCTCGTGGGGGTGACCCCAACCCGGCTCTTCTCCTGGGAGATTTGGACCGGCGCCACGGGTCTTTCCACTCATCTGGTCTCCTCATAACCCCACCCATCTCCTTCTTCATGGGAGGTTCCAACAGCCTGCTGAGAAAATTGAAATGAGGTTAATGTTGTTTTTCGTTGGTCTTCCAGTCTTTAAGATGGCGCTCCACCATACTTGGCAGCACTAATAAAAAGGCATACCCCATCACGAAATCTACGCTCGGCTGACCTGGAGCTACTGACTGTCCCACAGACTAGGTACAGGTCTAGAGGTGATCGGGCTTTCTCGGTCTTGGCTCCTTCTCTCTGGAATGAGCTTCCACTCAATACCTAACTGTCACCATCACTGCAGGTCTTCAAGAGTCACTTGAAGACTCATTTTTATCGTTTGGCTTTTATGTGACTTGGTTTTACGCTCCTTTTACATTTTGTATGTTGCTTTTATCCTTTTTATTGCTCTTCGTGTTTTTAGCGAGTTTTATGTTCAGCACCATGGACTCCCGCAAAGGCAGTGGAAGGTGCTATATAAATAAAGATTGATTGTTTTGATTGATGAGATAGCTAAGGTGATGATTTGCTAAATTCACCGGATCCCAATCAGCAAATCTAATAATTAGAAGTAAAATGGAGTTTCCCTTTGACGTTATAACCTGTAAAAATGCTTGACTGAACTTTGTTTTATGCTTTTGATTTTAAAACAACAAACGCGATGTTTGCACATTGCCTGTAGGTAGATTTCAGCTCAAATCCTTCCTTTATTTGTCTCATCTCAAGGCCTTTCCTTTGTGTAAACAGCAGCTGCAGTTACACTAACTTTACTAATGTGGTAAGAAAACAGGCTGCACCAGTGTGTGTTGATTACATCTAACAAGAAGCATGGAAAGGCTTGTTGATGGACGTGTGTAAACATTTAGCTGAAATTGCTCAAAGAGAGAAGCTGAAAAGAATACGTCAAAGGTGCGTTTGCTGCAGCCCAGGTGTGACTAAACACGACCGGTTCCGTGTATTTTTAGATGAAATAAGACAAAGAAAAGAATCTTGGCTCGATTATGTTTGTAATTTTGGGGATGCTCTCCCTACAAGTTTGACCCTCAGGTAAAATTCATAAAAGCAGGAGCAAAAATGTTCTGCATGAAAATGTTAAAATTCCACAAGCATCATTCGGACAATTAGATCTAAATATAGTATAAAAACACCGTTTATGATAATAATACCTGACAAGTTTCCTTTCTTCTTCATAAAAGAAAAAAATTGTGGAAGAACCAGGAAAATCAGTCATGTTTCATTCATCGAGCTGCATCTGAAAACCATCTGGTGATCGTAATCGGCATTTTCAGCATCATCAGTGTGGAACTAAAGCATAGTTGCCAAACAGCAATAACTAATCCGATGGTTTTCCCAGCCAATGAACTCACCACCTAGGGATAATTCATGCTAGCATTAACGGATCTGTGTGGAAAATTTCCAAATAATCAAGGGAAAACAAAAACGTATAATTATTTGAAGTCAAGTAGAATTACTTGAATGATTATTATTTAAAACTCTTCCACACCTGACTGGAACAGACTATCGGGTTTATGCAGAATTCCATAACCAGCGGCTGTGGTGATTGATTTCCTGAATCAGATGTGTGGAAACAGGGAAACGTCTAAAGCACGTGTCAGACATGTGACCCGTGGAGCATTTTTGAGTGGCCCTCAAAATAAATACCAAAACCGCAAAGACTAAACTCCCATGATGCTTTGCGGCTTTAGCGCAAGCGCCCCCTCCTTTGTGTTTTTTTCAGCGTCTGCTGCCGGTGTCTGCAGCTCCGCTGTCTCGGACAAACTAAACACTCCTCTCACTCAGCATCAAGTTCACTCAGCTATTTTCCGACGTTGAAGCCCAGAAACGGAGATTTTAACCGCTCAGTAATGTGTTCACGACTGAAAGACAAAGTTTTCCAACTAACTTCCAGACAGAGCTGATATAACTCCAGCGAGCAGCGACACGGTCAAATCAGCATGAGACTGTGGCTGCTGTCCTTTCTATTTTTCCTCCCCGACACACAACAACGTGGTCAAGCTGCTCAGACATGTTCAGCAGCACAAATCTATGTGAGCACCTGTTGTCATCTAATGTTGTCATTATTATGATGAAGATGAACAAAACAACAGGAGTCTCCTCAGCTCAGAGCTCCTCAACCCCATGATGGAGGTATCTGGCTGGAACAGGTGAGCATAATTTTTCTGCTCCAAAACATAAAGTTAACAGGTGAGATGTTGCATTTTCATTTTCATAAAATTACATTTTTATTTTGTTGTTGGCCCGTGAGAAAAGATTTAACCTACAAAAAAACAGGAACTGGAAAAGCTGCAGACAGATGAATAGAATAGAAAATCCCTTTATTGTTCCTCAGTGGGGAAAGCTAGATGTCACAGCAGCGATGACACTTATTACAGGAGAAAAAGTGAGAATAAAAAACAAGAAAAATGATAAAAACAACAAGAAAATATAAATCCTGAATAGATTTTAAAAATGCTGAACATACCGCAAGTAATGAATACCACTGATGCGTTTTATTTAAAATGGAATTGCTCGTGTGTAATTTGGTTATTCCACATTCAGTGTTAATGCAAAAATAAGTTTGTTTCCAAATTAAAAGGTTCAAAATTGCATATATGTTGATCAAGAAAACGTGCAAATTTGCCTTAACTTTTTCAAAAAATATTAAGTTTGGCCCGCAACTTCGTCCCAGATTTTCATTTCGGCCCCGTGTGAATTTGAGTTTGACACCCCTGGTCTAAAGCATGCAGGATGGCGTCGGAACACACCGACCTACCAGGAGGAGTTGAACAGCAGCTTTAATTCTGATGGGGACATCTTTACGTCCAGGAGCTCAGCAGATGGAGGAGGAGCTCGACACGATAAAACTGCAGGCGGACGAAGGCTTCCTGTTCGTGCACATTAACTACACTTCTCTATTTGTTTTAAAGAACTTTCTCATGCAAAAGGCCCCAGATGTTCTGATTGTGGGTTGGAAATTCCTAGGTTATAAAAAAGAAAAATCATGCACCGGAGACCCACCTCATGTGAGCCACAATTCGACAACTGCTTCTAAACAATGCCAACATGTGATTACCTGTTATGATAGAAAACACCGGTGGAGAAGAGCCAAGGCGGGTGGGGGTGGGGTGGGGACTGATCTACAGTAATAAAGTGGGATCCTGGTTTACGTGTCCGTTAGAAAACCAAACCCTCGAATGGATTGTGTTCCACTCTGCTGCGGTAAGTGACGGCATGAGCCCTTTCATTCTTTCGGTTTGCCTATAGCAGCGTTTTTCAATTAGTGGGGCGCACCACAGACACCCCTTTGGGCGCAGGAGAGCATAACAGCACCATTATGGATGGGTTCCTCACTCTCCAAACCCAACTGGAGTCTAAGCAGAATGAGCAGCTATGCAAGTTTTTATGTGTAGCCTACAGCTGCAACAACCGGCTTACTACTGAAAACAGATCATGGGGGATTACAACTGACTGGTGGGATTTTATATTTATTTTAATGATATTTACCATTTAATTATCATGCCATAACATGTGTCTGATTTTGTAAAAAAGCAAAATAAATGTGTTTTAAGTTGGGTAAACACCTTCCTCACTAGAAATAAAAGCCCCAGGGGCGAATGGTGACCCATCCAAGATGGTGGCATGCCACTATGGCATTACCTGGGTGTCTAAGCTCAATGAGAACCAGTTCACCACCTTCAGCCAGACTAATGCGTTTACATGATTTATAAAAACAGACACCAGTCCACTTAGAGCTTACTTCGGTTTACTGATGCAGATGATGTAAACACATAAATCTAGCGAATCAGACCAAATTCTTGCCTTGCAAAGTTTATTAAGTCTGGCTTGCCAAGCTAGTAAACCTACTGACTGGTTAGAGAACAAAGGCTTAAAAAACAAACAGAATTTGATCTGCAAGACTAAAAATGTTTTTGAAAATCAAAAACCCAACAGGTCATGAAGGTTGCTGTTGGTGTTTAACAGCAAAGCTGTCTCAGTCATGAGGAAAACCTACAATTATTCACAAGAATAAAAATAATTATAAGAAAATATAATTTCTATAGCGCCTCTCAAAATAAAAATCACGAGGCGCTTCACAAAAACAAAAAATGTTAAAATATAAAAAAGAATTTAGAAAATGGTTAAAAATATTTAAAATGAGCAAAAAATAGACAATTGTGATTTAAAAATGTTAAGAAAGAGAGAGAGTGAACAGGAAAGAGGGAAATCAGTGGATCCTGAGGAAGGTGGAATAGGTGGGGAGAGCAGAATAGAGAGAGAGGTGAAGAAGGTCATACAAAAGCCAGCTTGAACAGGTGAGTCTTCAGCTGCTTTTTAAAGGAGACCACTGAGTCCACTGATCTCAGGCTCAGGGGGAGAGAGTTCCAGAGTCTGGGGGCCACAGCAGCAGATCATCTGTCACCTTTGGCCTTTAGCCTGGCGCTGCACAACCAGTAGGCTTTGATCACTGGACCTCAGGGACCTGATGGGGGTGTAAATGTGCGCCTCGTGATTTTTATCTTGAAGGCGCTATAGAAATTATGTTTTCTTCTTCTTCTTCTTCTTCTTCTAGAGACTGAGAAGATCACCAATGTAAGTTGGTGCTTGTCCATGTAAGGCCCTATAGACCAGAACCAGGATCTTGAAATGAACCCTGAAGTTGACTGGCAGCCAGTGAAGCTGGAGGAGAAGCGGGGTGATGTGGGTGTGTTTGGAGGACTTGGTCAGAAGCCGAGCACAGGTGTTCTGAACCACCTGTAGACGGTTCAGGGAGGCTCTGCTCAGACACGTGAAAAGAGAGTTACAGTAGTCTAAGCGTGAGGAGATGAAGGTGTGGAGAACTGTCTCAAGTTCAGAGCGGGACAGAATGGGACTCAGCTTAGCAATGTTCCTGAGATGGAAGAAGGAAGAGCGAACAAGAGAACTGACATGAGAATCCAGGGTGAGAGCTGGGTCAAAGGTCATGCCAAGATTCCTGACGGAAGGTTTGGTGTGAGAAGCAAGCTGACCAAGAGAGTCTCTGACTTTGGGAACCAGCTTGTCTGGGGCACAGATGA